ATCATATACATATATATTGTGAAGTGTATTTTGTAAACATTATTTTATAATTAGCATGAGCACCGAGTTGATCATTTCATAATTTTATGTGATGTAATTAATTAGTTCCAGGAGACAATCCCGATTTCATTTTTAACACTGCGACACAAAGTTGTACCAATCACGGGTATTTTAGGCGACCTACCACACTTTGCGACAACATTTTATACCGTGTAAATAGATCAGCTTGAACTTTAGAATTTTACTTAAACACGAAGAAAGCACAATAGTATATTTCTAAATTTGAAGCTGATCTATTTACATGTATGTACCAGCCAGCTCAACTCTTTACTCTTGTACTTAAACATTTCGATTCAGGTAAAATATATGTTACTGGTAAACAAAGGGCTGGGGAGTCGTATGAACACGACGTTGTGTACGTTAGGGTAGATTTTTTCTACTCTTGCGTCGAAATTAAATAACTGAATTTAATATTTCTGTCACCTAAAAACAAAAGTAAATTGCACGGACGATTGAAGAAACTATATATTTACTCGTTTCACGGCGTAAATAGTGTATATTGCCAGAACAACGCGAAAAATATATTCTCAATTTAGCGGTTCAAACCGGTTCGAACCGGTTTGAACCGTTATTTTTGCTCCCCGGAACTGAACTGGAGCCGAACCGAAAGCCGCGAACCCGAACCGGAACCGAACCGATAAAAATTTCGGTTCGACACTCTGGTTAGAACTACACTTTGTTGTTTTTACTATTTTTAGTATGTCATAAATGGCATTATGCATTCTCATTTTAAACTTCACGTTGTGACGCCATGCTTACAGAAATATGAACACGGGAAGCCTTTGAAGGTGAAGTAATTTTAAGTTAATATTTAAACGGCATATTCACCCTCGATGACAATCACAAGCATGATGAAGCGATTGACCGTTGCAAACCCCTGTACTAAAATAAATAAAGAGGCCAGAAATATTAAAGCAGACATTTGTTTCACTTTTTCCTGACTTTCTCCAGCAAAAGACTGCGATTAAACGAAAAAGAAAAACAATTAAAGCATCACTCAAATAATTTGAAGGTTAATCGATTGAATGCCAAGTCCTGATATGTGTTAGATGAGCTCGGAGGGTGATCGGAAAGTCTCGTGAGAGTCGCTAGTCCTCATTAGTAAAATAGTGTCGCTGGCCGATGCCGTCTGTTTCGTAGTGCGAGTCGTTTGCTGGAGTTGCAGAGTCTACTATGTCTGAATCGAAGATCATTTAGCCAGAAATTTATAATATTAGCCTTTTGACATCCGCGGCCCTCACCGAGAAAATCGAAGCGGGTGAACCCACACTACCGAGAAAAGCATCTAATAACGCGCACTCTACTGCGTTGCACGGTTACAAGCGTTTGTTACACTTGCGGCAGGCATATTAGAATAGTTTGTTTCACTTGTTTCAGTTGTCCTGCCAACGAAAAGTTTCCGGATCGTAACTAAAGAGGCACCCTCTCCTCATCGCAACGTAGTCGAATTGTTCCGACTATACGGAAAAATTACCCACACCATGGTACAGTAAAGGGAAACATTGGCTGCAGCGGAAGTCAATAGCACAGTAATTTCCCATACAGCACTAACTGCTAAGCTAAATATTTATATTACGGCAAAAGCTAAAGGTTACAAAAATGCATAGAACCTACGATTTCACAGCCCACAAAACCTGTATTATGTTATCCGGGTTGGAATTCATTGTTTTGTTTAATTTTCACGCGGGTGAACTGATACATTTATTTTAAAAGAACCGAGGAAATAACATAAATAGTGCAGTTCACCCGGAGACAGGCATCCGTCGTGGTTATCCATGCTTCCCAACGTCTGCATGGTGCAGTCGACGCATCCATACGAACGTTTATTTTAGGCCGTACGCTCGTAACACGATTCAATTTTCACTGAAACACCGAATGGTACCCCACCATTTTCAGCTAAAATTGTTTTCCACAGATACTGCGCGAGAAAATAAACGCAGGGACCTACACTGTCTTGCGCGCGAACGTGGAGAGCCAATGGGGTGGCCATGAAACCGCATGAAACTATCCCCACTTTGATGATGATGATAGTGCGACAGTAGCGCCACCTCTAGGTCAATCACGAGGCCATTAGGGTCGGCTGGATGTCGGAGGGGGGGGGGGGGGGGGGGGGGAGGAGGAGTAGTAGGCTGAAGCCTCAAATCCTTCGCCCCCCCCCCCCCCTCCCCGCTCTCCCCTGGCTAGGGGCTAGGCCTCTAGTCAGCACTCGCTCAGTAGTCGCGCATGCGCATTACGTCATCGTCGATGGAACCTTTCTCCCCCCCCCCCCCCCCCCCGCACACAGACGCACGCACGCACGCACGCCTCGCGCAAGCTCTGGCTGGTCGGGAGCCGCCACCGATAAGCGAACCCGTGTCCCTAAACCCGTGCGGCTTGGCGTCGCCGCGTGCTAACGTCGTGCTCGTTGCGAGAAGCTGCAAGACGCGCCGTCGACGATGGTCAAGCAAGCTGGGCGTCGCTGCGCGGGGTCATTAGGGGTGACGTTTGGGGATGACAGGCCTTGGCTTTGTCTGCTTCTTTCGCAGAGGTTGTGGTGACGTCAGAACGCCGAGCTCTGACTGAAGGATAGTGGATAGTGCAAAGTGCTAGTTGCCTTGAGTCCTTCAATCAGAGCTCGGCGTCCAGACGTCACCAAAGCCCCTGCAAAAGCACACGAACTTGCGGTTCGCACTGTCTTTCGCGTGACGTCATCGCACCATGCTGATGATAGCATGTTTAGAGGTCCATTAGTTTGAAACTATATTCCTAAAATTTGTTGCAAGAATACGCAGAAAAAAAAAAAAAAAGCCGGCTTAGAAAAAAAAAAGACATCAAAATTGTGTTGTCTTTTTTTGCTGAGAAACATGAACAAAATTTCAAAAACTCCCCCTTTCGTAGTTATTTAATTAATGTCGACAAACGCTAAATAGATATATTTTAGGTCGTAAAAAGGTTGGGCTGTCCATGTGGTATGAATTTGTATGCAATGTATGTAGCAGAAAAAATCCAAATTCCTGTTCATAATTTTAAGGCATATTTCGATTTCTATTATTTCTCGGCCACCACCAATAGATCTCCATGGGTATTATTAGAGCCACTAAATGACCTGTGCTTAGAGTATCGTGCGCCACCATTTTGGTGCTTGGGCAGGGCAGACGCAACTGCCGATCGTCATGATTCAAAAGTGTGACTTCCTCTGCATTAGATTTGGAGTTACGAAGCTCATGCAATATTGCTTTGCTCTGTCGCTAACTGTTGAAACATTTGTGGAGGACGAAAAAGTGTTTCCTGTGATTTCAGATAACTGGCAACCATGATTTTAAGCCACAATGGGCAGAGTCGTTACTCTCAAGCGTAGCTTATTTAGCGATGCTAGGCATTATTTTTCACAAGACACTGCAAAGTGCGCGACGATGCTGATGCAAGCTAGGCGGTGGCAACATTATTAGATTAGCTCAGTTACGGAACTGCTCATAGATGCTGCTTGAACGAACAGTACCCCCCTCTTTCACCAAGGCTCGCCTTCTGTCGTTCGACGCGCCAGACGGCTCCCATAGTAGCTGCGGCGTGTTCCATGGAATACGTACGTTTCGAAGCACAGCGTCTAGATGGCATTCCAGCTCTGCTCTATGAAACGGAAATCTAGATGGCAGTTCAAACAACCAGACGGATTGAAGTGATGTACCCCTCTCCATGGGAATTCCACAACTGAGGAAACCTAGTAACGTCGGGCGGTACTGCGTGAATCCGTCGGCGACGTTTGAGGAAAGGGGGGGGGGGGGGGTCTTGTTTTCTAGGTGATATTTATTTGGTTTCATATATGGCTTTCGCACGACTACCGTAATATCCCGAGTCATCGCCCACCCCCCTACCGCCTGAAATTCATTAAAAAAGTGGGGTGGGCCATGTCTCGGTGGGTGAGCACAAACACTTGAAAAAAAGCGGAAAATATCGCCTATTTTTCTCTGCGTATCTAGCGCTGATGCACAAGAGATACATCAAACTCAAAACTCGATTTAGTTTCATTGTTTTATAGAAAAAAATGCTTACGAAAGAATATTTTACTATAGCGAAGTCCGTTGCTTGCATACGCGCTAGAAACACCGCCGGTTTGCATATAGCGCGAACGTTTGTTCCGTGAAAGAATGTCACCACTATGTTCTAATAGTTAGTAAAAAAAAAAAAAAAGAAAGAAAAGTCTACAAGAAAATAAAAAAATTGACCAGGCGCAACCAGCGAGCGAGCGAGCGGACCAAAGAAGCGACCAAGAGCAATGCTGGGAAAGCGGGAAAGCCGGTGGTCGCGTTGGCAAATACTTTGGCGTCGGGCCAAGTTGGGCGCCTTGTCAATTGCAAGCTCTTGCGCAACTTTCTTGTTTGGTGCGTACATACGTGCGTCCGTGCACGGCGGGCTGTCAATGCACGGTTTGGACGCTCTGCAAACGTCTGTGTAGGGCGTTCCAGCAAAGCTTTATTTACGCGTTGGCTTTGCCTAAAATATTGCACAACCGCGGTCGCGACGGGCGGGAAGAAGGAGCGGGTTCGCGGTGACCTTACTTCGGCGGAGACAGACTTTGACCTAACACTCCGCGGTTACATTAACAAACTCTTATTTTGTTATCTCCATCGTTTTCTTTTCGCAGCACGGATACACGACCACTTTGGGGTCGCTCACGGAGGAAATGCGTAAACAAAAAGAAGTGTCTTTCCCTCCTTCGTTTTACTTTGTCACGGACGTCCTCCAACTGTAAGGTCCGCGGCCGCGTCATTCGGGTAGGATGAGTGTTCGCGGATCGCAGAGTCCGCGCTGGGGTATTTGAAGGGGTGGGCGATGACTCGGTGTTTTTTCGGAAATCGATATTGGCCCAAAAAATGGGGTGGGCGATGGCTCGGGGATGGGCGGTGACTCGGGATATTACGGTACACAGGAACAAGCAGAGTGAGCAACATATGCATGAGAGGTCAACAGTTTCAAATATTTATTATATACATGGGTATACAAGAATACTTTTACACACAAATAAATAAATGAGGCTATTGTGTGACGAGCAAAAGAATGGCAGAGTGGGCAGCAAATGCAGCAGGAGTGCTCAGTCATCATCCCGAGGCGGTCCACATGTCCACCGGTCCGCACTCGCTGTACAAGACAAAGTCCAGGATGGACTGTGGGACCACCATCTTGGGAATGACCTCCTCGAAAAAGTGTCCGTGGACGCGCATGAGATGATTCCTCATGCTGACGCGGCACTGAAATGTTAATGGAAGTGGTTGCTCTGAAAGGAAACGAAATGATGAATGTAAAGAGGTACGACACATTCTTCAAATGTGGTATGTAGGTGTCGCTAATGCCTCTGAGTGTTTACCTCATAACCATTGGATGCGAGACCACAAGCCTGTATGGCGTAGATTTTCGCATGTGACATGGCATTCCCTCAGTACCCCAATTCTCTCAAGCATGCCTTCCCCTAAGTAAAACTTAAAAAGCAACTCTTCTCGATTCTGATCATTCCAACGTAACAAATGAATTCACAATGGGAAGTACTAACGAACGGCTCTACGTCATCCGTTTCCCAAAAGGCCAAATATGTTTTGTGCAATCTTGCTTTAGACACAATGAAAAACCAATGCTTCAACGCATGACGCATCCACTTGGTACAAGCAGTCATGTCACCTACCACGTGAACAGGCAGAATGCAAGTATTGTCTGCTTTAGTATCCCGGGAGATAGCCCACTTAAAATTAAGAGTGAACTGGGTGAAAATAAGAGATAAACTAAATTCTAAAGTGCAACCAAAAACAATTTTTAAAAACATTGTAGCCAGGTTGAGAATGCAGTCTTCCAAGGAACGTGGAAGTTGGTTTCTTCGCCGTCTACTCACACAAGTGATTGTAGATGCTACCGCAATGTTTACTGTCGCCAACCAATTTTTCGGATCATACTGCTGGACTGTCAACCCACAGAGTTAGTGCAGTGGTTCTCAAATGGGAATCCACCACGGACCCTTTGGGATCCTTGAAACCTTAGACCATCAGTCAAGCCGAGCATTAAAGTTTTTTTTTTTTTTATTGATGCTGGCTGCCTTACGAAGTTAAGTAGACAAAACCATGTAGGTACACTAAGTGAGTAGAGTTGATTGTTCTCTTTTTCAGGATGGCAAAGTTGGTTTGCCAGCATTTAGTTTTCTTCATTTACGCTTTTGTCACTGCAATTGTTCAGTACCGCCTCGTGCCCCCCCCAGCAGATGAGGTCCCGTATCACTTCCCCCAATCCTTGAAACATTTGTGGTTGAGAAAAGTAACGTATAACAGCGACTGAAATTCCTTAAAGACCGACGTACATTTTGCGACTTTTGCCCGTCTTCTCCTTTTCTGCATCCTCTCCACTTTTTTACCTTGCCCCAACTTGACTACCCTTGCAGCTTAGGAGAGAGGGAGCACTAAGAGGATAATCTCTCTTGCAGAAAACCAAGGTTGTACGTCGGCCTTTAAGTGTGGTTTCTGATATACATGTTCTATCGAGACACTTAAAAAAAATAGCGTGGGGAAAGGTGAGCTCCGTGTTTTGTTAAGAGACAATAGGCAACGGGCTTACCAAGGCTGTTCAGCAGCGGCTCCCAAGCGTCGGCCTGCAGGGCCGACCCGTAGAATGCTGCGGCCCTACGATAACCGGACACAGTCAGGTCCTTCATGGATGTGGGACTCTTGAGGAACATGCGCAGCGTTTTGAACACGGCGAGGATGTGCTCCTGGCTCTCTGCTGGGTGGAACAGGCAGCTGACAGAGAAAAACAGTGCAAAAGGATCTTCAATTGGTTTCCACCCTGGGGTGGGGGGTAATATCAAACGACGACGCCAGTGACCTCGAGAGCAAGGACAAGACAGAGGGCAACAGAAGGGCAGAAAAAGAAAGCAGAAGACAGATTAAGCGGGCTCGTTTTGCTGCAGCGAGTTCGCATTCTTTGAGTGCTTGTCAACTTCTCTACCACTTACAGAACGCGCGACGACAGTGCTTTCGTGCAAAATGAAGCTCCAGGTGTAAAATGACGCGGTACAGACCTTATTGTTTTACAACAAGGTCTGTACCAAGTGATGTTTTCCTGCTTCTGTGCATATTAAAGGGATGGTGAACCAAAATTTGGATTTCAAAAACACAATGCTGGAGATGTATGCGGGACGCTACAATCCCTACAACACCATTAGTAAGGCGATATCTCAAATGGACGGCCATATTTTTGGAAAAAGGAGTCGAGATTGAACCAGGCCGACGAGGCGCGTGACGTCAAGATACCTAGTTTTCTCCTCTCTTTGCTTCACTCCCTGAAGGCCGCGGGGCGGAGAAGATGCGAGGCCGTTCCCTCCCCTTCTCGGAGAAACATGATATCAAACATTCCTGCCGAATGCGCCTCTTTTTCTTAAAAATGCGGTTGTCCGTTCGAGATATCGCTGTATGAGTGATGTTTTGGTGTTTGTAGGATTCCGTTGCACGCTTTTGCCGCGTGTTTTGGGGAATTCAGATTTCGGTTCAGCATCTTTTTAAAGCGACGCCAGGTGCTTACTTGAGGAAGATGGAGGACGAGGTTCCTTCAGTGTCCGCGTCCCCTCCAAGACAGAGCCTGGGGTCGAGCCCGAGCCTGAGTACCCTCACGAAGGACCCATAGTCGTTGAGGGTCACCAGGAGGCACTCGTTGCTCGGGCAACCCTGGGAACGTTCGTAGTTGAGCCGGGCGCCGCGGGCAAACAGCAGCCGCAGCTCCCTCCCTGTCGGGCTGATGAGCGCTGCATGACAGCCGCAAAGAGAAACCAGCCCGGTTTGGAAGATGTTCCTTTACGTACGGATTTCCGTAAGCATGGGAAAGTGCTGAACTGTGTTTTCCCACAGTTAAAGGCGGACCAGCAGAAATATTCTTCCGCCTGGCGGAAAGTCCTCCTCGCCCTCTTTCTTTCTTGTATTGTAGCACGGCGAGGCGAGGGGAAAGGTCCCCTTTTGCGCCGGCTTCTTCTGAGAGGATAAGCCGAGAAAATCCCCATTTTGAGCGACGGGCGATGGGTGCGGCAGCAGCGACCTCGTGACTTACAGGTAGCTTCAGATCCTATCGCGTAATCTGCCCCATTTTTTGGCGCTCACCAAGCCTAGCTTCTCGGGTGTAGGTTTTGCGGAGCTGCAATCACCGAATTTCAGCTGTCGAAGGTCTTTGGTTTAGCCTGTGGCAAAATAAACACATACTTGAGAGCTGCGATGCATCCCCGCACCCATTGAAGGAACGTGTCATGGATATTTTTGGTTCATCAAGGAGCTCAAAAGACATGCGCGAGAAGTGGTGACTTGAATATGTAAGGATGACTTACATCTTCACAAAACATTCCATCTTTAAAAAAAAAACGGCTTATCACGCTCAAACCTGCCTCAAATTGGGATCGATGGAAAAGAAAACGATGCACCAGGCGTGGGAATCTTCTAGAAGTTCTCTCTGTTTTCTAGCAGCGAGCACAAATTATTGGAGAACTTTAGCAGACTATGTTTTCAGGCCACATATATTTAGCGGAAGCTCGCGCTGCCACTTCGATGCATTCTCTGAAGCACGCGCCTGAAGTGGCAGCGGGCCTTTGAAAACGATTTACTAAAATGCCCTGTTGTGTGCCTAACTCGCGGAACATGATGGCCAGCAAAATGTATGAAATTCATATTTACACATTCCCAACAACCACCTGAGGTGAGAGGGCATCAAGGGTGGATGTCAATTTTAGAAAGTTTTAGTGGGTCACTTTTAGCCACTTAGATAACCGTACGGTCCGTACCCCAGAACGAAATGTAAGCTAGATTCGCTCTTTAAATTCTTTATCGAGTGTGGCTATGGAGCGGAAAAGACAATATTAAAACCCTTTTTGGCGAGTCCAACGTGTCGTGTTATGGTTCAACGTTGCTTGTATCGGTACCATAGCACGGGCCGCCACTTCGAAGTATTTGTGTGTCTCAAAGAAACTAAAGCAAAAGCAGACAATTTTTTTAACGTGACACAGAATTGTATTTAGCATTTTAAAAAACTTTTAGGTACCCTACGCCACGCAGTTAGCACAAACAAACAATCGCCGGTGTTTCCCACTTTTTTTTTTTCTTGTTAGAACTGAATGATGTTTAGGAAACTGTTAATGCGAGTATCCCAGCTAAGCGGTAGAGTTTAGTGCGAGTCGATACATTGCTGGGGAAAATAGCAAAATGCGCCGATGTCGTGTTTGCGCTAACAGTGTCGCATAATGTACGCATACCGCTGCACAATCAATGCTAACGGAGTGAATCAGTAAATTCAGTGGCCCCCAAAGAAGTGGTGTTATTTTGTTTTATTTTTATGGTTGAAAAGTTGTTATATTTAAACAAGCAATTCGGTAAAAAGAGTGCTTCCGTTGGGCACCAACTTACGAGGCATCAATTTGTTCTACACTAAATTCTGCATGGCCCTTGCGTAGAAATGTCAATATTGTGTTCGTGCTAGCTGTGTCACGCACAGTAAGAAGACCAGTTCATTGCTCGAACATTTAAACAAGGCCTTTCTTACGTTTTCTTACGCCAAAGAGACGTTTTGCGAGTACGCTCCATTACTGGTGGTTCATAATATAACCTACGTTGTTTATTTAGAGGAAGGAAGTGGTGGTGAGGGGGGGGGGGGGGGGGGGGGGGCGGATTGAATACAAAAGACGACTCAGGGAACCTCGAACTTTGTAAATATTTCGCTCAACCTATAATCCTGAGCTAATTAAATCACTTTTGCTTTGACTGTTTTAGAACTTGTTAAAAGTCGCGCTAAAGGCCAAGATGAGCGAAAAGTCAGATGCCAATGTTTATTTGAGCAAGAAGCTTATATATGCGAGATAGAACTGAAAAAGCGTACGAGTGTAACCGTAGCTATCTCCGACCAAGCCTGAACCTCACTTTTTCGCCATTTTATAGAAATTCGTTTTATCGAATGAACGGACATTTCATCGAACGCCGTTTCATCGAATCGCTAAGGGCCGTTTCATCGAATTTCTCTGTCATGGCTCTGTACCGAGTTTTGGGGCATAACAGTGCTTTATAGATGTTTCACCTTGCATTTGTTAAGACTAAGGTAGTCACTTGTGAAATTGTTTTGAAGGTGGTGTCAAATTACTAAAGATAAAAGCAATTGGCATAAAAACAAATAAAAACAATTGGGTATGCGACTTACTGAAAATCTTTACTCATATACATATATGACTGAAACCACGACGCTGCAAATAAAGGACAGACACTTAGAACACTTTTAAGTGTCCGTGCTTTCTGTTTTTGCCTCATTTTTAATTGTTTTATGTGACATGGAGAGGGGTCATTGTTTCATGGAGGCTTCTTCTCGAAGCAGGAAATGTTCACGATGGAACTTATCTCGTCACTGCACCCAGTGATATAAAAACAGAAACAAAAGAAAAAAAAAAGAGAATTAGATGAAGTTGTGTATAAAAATTAAAGTAAATTCCTAAATATTACACACTGTAAGGTTGTTCGATGAAAAGGCGTTCGAGGAAACGGCTTCTTTGAAACGGCGTTCGAGGAAACTGCGTTCGATGAAACGGTGTTCGACGAAACGGCTTCGATGAAACGGCTTTGATGAAACGGCGTTCGATGAAATGTACGGACGCACTTATAGCGGTACGCGTGCATTACGTGGCACTTTTAGCCCGAACGCGACATCGGCGCTATTTACTATTTCTGCCCAGCAACATGTATTGTCTAGCACTGAGCTCTGCCACTTAGGTTGGATAGTTGCATTGACAGTTTTCTAAACATAATTTATTTCTAAAAAACAAAATTAGAAAGACCGGCAATAGTTTGTCCGTGCTGTGTGGCAGTATACCTAAAATGTGTTTGCAAAGACGAATTACAAACGCGTATCATGTTAAAAAAATCGGCTACATTTGATTTATTTATTTTTTTATTTTTAATGCCTCAATAATACTTTAAAGTGGCAGCACGTTCTATAGCACCGATTTAAGCAACGTTGAACTATAACACCAGACGCTTCGATAGCTGCACTCGATCAAGAATGCTCACAGAAAGGTTATAGCTTATATATTGTCGTAGGGTGCGGTTATCCAAGAGCTAAAGACGATCCAATAAACCTTTTTAGTATCGACACACACCATTGCTGTCTTCTCACTTCATGTGGTTGCTGGGATGCGTAAATATAAATGTCACGTACATTCGTTGGCCATCATATTGTGTAAGTTACGCACATAATATTTGTGCTCGTTGCTAGAAAACAAAGACCTTCTAAAAGATGCCCGCGCCTGGTACATCGCTTTCTTTTCCATCAATCTTAATTTGAGGCAGTTTTGAGCGCGATAAGCCGTTTTTTTTTAAGATGGAATGTTTTGTAAAGATGTAAGTCATCCTTACATATTCAAGTCACCACTTCTCGCGCATGTCTTTTGAGCTCCTTGATCAACCGAGAATATCTATGAAACGTTCCTTCAATGGGTGCGGGGATGCATCGCAGCTCTCAAGTATGTGTTTATTTTGCCACGGGCAAAACCAAAGACCTTCGACAGCTGAAATTCGGTGAGTGCGCGGGCGCAGACTTGCAGCTCCGCAAAAACCTACACCCGAGGGGCTAGGCTTGGTGAGCGCCGAAAAATGGGGCAGATTACGCGATAGGATCTGAAGCTACCTGTAAGTCACGAGGTCGCTGCTGCCGCACCCATCGCCCGTCACTCAGCATGGAGATTTTCTCGGCTTATCCTCTCAGAAGAAGCCGGCGCAAAAGGGGACCTTTCCCCTCGCCTCGCCGTGCTACAATACACGAAAGAAAGAGGGCGAGGAGGAATTTCCGCCAGGCGGAAGAATATTTCTGCTGGTCCGCCTTTAAGCACTTCATTGCTTAAATGTGGGCAACGCACGTGGTTGCCACGTGGAGGATCGGCGTTCAAACCTTGCTCGACCCTGTTCCTTCTTTTATTAATCTGTGCTCTTCTGGAAAGTTCCAGCTCGTTCTTGGCCATCGTTGTGTGTTCCGATTCAATCCTGGATGTACCACGTGTACAAAAGCGGCGGTAACTTTCTTTACCTTTATTCAAGTAGCCAGTTTTGCCATATGGCATTAGAGTCGGGGGGAGGAAGGGGGAATTCACGGAAAAAAAAGAAAACACGAGAACAAAAATTACTACCTAGTGCACGAAAAAAGGCGTCATTGAATGTAATGAGGTGTTGAACTGGGCGAGTTAGTAAAAGTTTAACATGTAACGGCTTCAAAGAATGAGGACAATGTTGTCCTGTCGTGTCTTTTCCTTTTATCGTCCTCGTTTTTTGAAGCTGTTACACTCACCATGTCAAGTCATTAAATGTGATGGTGGCTTTGCGTGATGGAAATGAGTTCCAATCATGTGCAATTTTCACAAAAAAAAAAAAGCATGCATGTGTAGAAAAAGGTTTTTAAATATTTATTTTTATCTACGCAGGCTTGTTTTCTCAATAAACATTGTAATAGAATTTGAAACAAAGGATTTGCCCAAGATTTAAAAATTGCCAATTTGAGCCTCTGTTTACACTCAATCATACTAAGTTGCCAATTGTAAATTCCTAAAAGAAACCTGAAGGCTAACTTTTGAAATTTTTCAAATTTCTGTGTAGGAAATTTAGTGTAACGGTCCCAAGCTACACAAGCGTATTCACAAATAAAACAAACATGTGTAAAAAAAAAATTTTTTTTTTTGTTAAAGGGAAGATGGGGGCATTTTTACATTTGAGAAAAAACGCTTGAATTGCATTCCTTTGGCCTTTAGGATAACAGACATCAAAATTATATTTCAATGCGACGTGCCGGATAGCCATATGAGCAATTTCAAAATAGGACTGAAGCCCCGCCTCCCTAGCCTTGGGCAGCCAAAAGATCCGTCGATGACGTCACGTACAGCGACTGTCTTTCGTGTTTTTCTCGTGTTTAACAATACTTACGCAGCAAATGCTTTGGGTATTTGGGTTCACTGAGTAAAAATTCACAAGAATTCACTTCTAACTCATTTTTCCCAATAAGCTCCATAGCTTCCCTTAAGCGACAGGGGGTACAAGTTTAAAAATGCAACGCAGGAAGCCAAGCATCTGCGAGGCTTTCAGGAAGATGTGGTCAACTTGGTGATTCCAACGCGATAGGTACTTCTGGCCAGTCGCCCTTCCATCGTTCATGCAAGATGCATGGTACTACTTTCTTTTTATGTTAGTAGGCACAAGTTCCCTCATCACAGCACACGGCAAGCACAGCAAATATAGTTACTCTACATATCAAGTGCCACTTGAGTGTACACAGTGTCCAAGAGTAAAAGGGAACCTCAATGCTGCAGAGACAGCCCTCGAGTAGAGAGTACTTTGGTCATCTGTATAGTTAATGGTGCAGACAGTTCTCGGGTAGAATGGGCTCTACTCGTTTGCATAGTCAACGCCACAGAGACTGTCCTTGAGTGAAGAGTGCTCTAGTCATCTGCATAGTCTATGCTGCAGAGACAACACTCGAGTAGAGAGTGCTTTGGCCACCTGCGTAGTTGATGGCGCAGAGACAGTCCTAGGGTAGAAAGGGCTCCAGTCATCTACATAGTGGATGCCGCAGAGACAGTACTCGAGAAGGAAGTACTTTGGTCATCTGCATAGCTGATGACACAGAGATAGTCCTCAAGTAGAGAGAGTGCTTTGGTCATCTGCTAGTTGATGCCGCAGAGAGTCCATGAGTAGAAAGTGCTGCAGGGCTCTAGTCATCTGTGTGGCCGATAGTGCAGAGACTGTTCTTGAGCAGAAAGTGCTCTGGTCATCCGCATATTCCATGCCGCAAAGATAGTCTTCAAATAGAAAGGGCTCTGGTTCCCAGTGTACCCACCAGAAAGGACGGGGCTGATGGCTTCCGGGAGGATGGCATCTGGGCTGGCCCCCTCGTCCAGCAGGATCTCCATGGAGGTGAGGTCCTGCTTGAAAACGGCGTAAGAGAGCGCCGTCTCGCAGCGCGGCGCTGCGTTGACAGGCAGGCGCTGCGATGGCAGCGTCACAGGAAGGAGCAGCTCATCCACTGGGAACCCAGCTCTGAGCAGCTCCCGCAAGCACTCGTAGCTGCAGACACAGGCGTGGGGGGGCAGTGACAATCGAATATATGTGCACAAAGTTATCAGTGCGAATACAGAAAGGTGCACTTAACCCCTTAACCGTTTTAGACAAGCCTAGCTCGTCTACCTAGAGCCATCCCCAAATCACTTTAGGACGAGTGTAGCTTGTCCAGGCACCCTACCTCGCCCCTTGGCTGTTTTGGACGACCCAGGCTCGTTCAGAGCTTAGTTTGCTGCGCTGCTCGGACATGGCAACATATGCTTCTACTGTACACGTTTCTAAGGATGGCGACTGATTGTGGAGACACGTGCAATAAAAAGAAAAAAAAATTATTTAGGATAAAAAAAATCAAGGAAAAAAAAACGGTTAAAGAATTAAAGGGGCAATGCAACAATTTTTCTACTTTCAATAAATATAGCTCAGGACTCTTTCTTAATATTTATAACCCAAACACATTGTTGTTTTTTTTGTTTGTTTTTTCTCCAAGCAGTAGGAGTCTCATGAAAAATCAGAGGAAAATGAACACTGTTTACCCCCTCAAATCACAGCAAGAAAAAGCTGCCACATGATCTGAAGCCGATTATGTGCCGCCAATGTTATTTCATATAGCCACGTGCTGGGGTTGGCAAAGCACAGGGTGAGTGCCGAGTTCCACACATTGTTAAAGTGTGGCTATTCCCGTCATCCTAGCACTAGGGCACGAGCCAATAACCAAATGCATGTCAAGACATTGTCACGAGCCACAATCAAACACCTATGCAGTGCTCCTGTCCACTGTAATGAGCTAAATTTAAATATCATCACAGCGGGGATCGCAAAGCTTGATGGCGCAATCCCGGGGATCGCGTTGTTGACGTTGTACCGCAGCTTCGTCATCAAGTTTTGCGAAGGAGAGACTGAAAAAAAAAAAAAGGCTCGTTTTTATCCTGCAAATTCCACCATGACGAAGATGCTTCTTGGTCAGTGGCGTCGCGTTGGAGTATCCTTGGGTCCCACTAGTGCCAGTAAGCTGATGTAAAGTGAAAAGCATTCCTATCCAATATCGTCGCGCAGCCCCCTCATAGGTTGGTTACCACATTTGCGTTTGAGTGCACATATAAAGGGATTCCTCTTTTTAGGCTTTACAAAATTCTTTTACACAAGCTGTGAAAGTTACATTAACGCGACTGCACAGGTCGAATATACGACCAAGAGGACATAATATAGAAGGCTAATCGTTACGAGAAGTCAAACAATTAGCTCAAATTCGTTAATGAACTTTTTAAATAGTGAAAATAAACTTGATTCTCATTAGAAACTTGCTGAATGTCACTGTAAATTACTAACTAAGCAATTTTTAGAAAGACAGATCATGGGAAGTGCAGTAGTGCGCTATTGCTACCACTCAGGCAGAAGGCTGGCGGTGAGAAAACATGGATGACAGGAGACGGGAAAACTGCACGGGCTCTTTATAGTACCGGCAGCCTTGCTCCTGCTGTAAGAGTGCTAACTTTAGCTTTCCACCAGGCTTCCCACATGCTCCAAGACTTTCTAAAATTGATTGATTTAGTGCTTTCTAAAGATGCTTAGCAAGTGTCCCATTGGAACTATACATGCTCATTTTTCCCAAGTAAAAAGCTCACAAATTTTATAATGATGGACTAAAATTCAGCACCGAATCTTGGGATTCAGTAAAGCCGGAGTTTTGCCAAACTTTCCTAGATTAGACAAAGGATAGAGGGTTGTTAATGGATGTACCCTTTGTAATGGGCGGTAGCTTGCGCCACCTAGCTCAAGTCTAAAAAGGCAAGCATATGATTCCTCCTGCCATTCAAAGCCAATTTTCTCCCTCTATCACCAGGCAGTGCAGGATATCACCAGGATGACCTTTGAGGGATCAAGCGAAAGAACTAAAAACATCAACCCCCCCCTCCCTCCTCCTCCTCCTCCTCCTCCTCCTCCTCCTCCTCCTCCTCCTCCTCCTCCTCCTCCTCCTCCTCCCTCCCTCCCTCCCTCCCTCCCTCCCTCCCTCCCTCCCTCCCTCCCTCCCTCCCTCCCCCCCCCCCCCCCCCCCCCCCAGTGAGGAAGTCGCCAATTTTCCTCTGGTCAAACCTAGTCGGAATCACCCCAGCATCGGACCCACTGGGGACAGGGTTGAGACTTTGGGTTGGAGCCACGCTGTAGGGAGTCCCAATTTTCCTCTGTCCCACCTGTCCCCAACTGTGCTAATTAGTTGTACATCATTCAATTTTCCCTAGATAATTTCCACCAATCTTCTAATTGCCTCTTTGGGACTGTAATCCTCTTATCTTCCGTTTTTCCATCCCAGCCAGCAAAGCCCAGGGCCCCGGCCAAATCTGTTACCCCTCGGGAAAGGCAGGGCGAAGCCCTGTGCACTCCGAAACCAAATACTCTGGTGTCTCGCTCTCATTATGGCATGTGGCACATAATGTGTCTGTCTCCTGAAATTTATCCCTATACGTCCTTGTCCTCAGAACTCCCGTTCGCCCCCTCAAACAGTAAAGAACTTCTCAGAGAATTGTCAAACACATTTTTCTATCTTATGTCCTGATTTTGTGACCTGTACATTGTTAGAGCTGATATTTCCTGCATCCTTCCCTCCCACATTCTCCTTTCTGCCTCTTTCACCCCCTTTACCACTGAAGTAGTCTGATCAGCCTCATCACTAGTGTGTAGGTATTTAAATGTAAGCGTTCGGGTTCGGTTAGTCCATTTTGTGTTTAAACTTTTCATGTATAAATACTTGAATACCTTCCGTGCCCACCGCATATCATCCATTTTGGTGAACCTTTGTTCAAATTTCAACTTACTAATTACCTCCCTGATCTCAAAAGACGACAATCCCATGTCTACCTGTAATCCCTCATTTGGTGTCTTTCCATGTGCTTCCAGTGCCAATCTGACCACACTTCTTTGTTGAACTTCTAATCCTGATTGAACTTCTGATATCATGCACAGTGCCCCATTGCCAAAAGACAGTCCTGGCACCATCACTCCTTTCCATTTACTCCTGACCACTTCATATCTATTATAGTTCCATATTGCCTTAAGCTTCATAATTGACGAATTTCTGTTAAAATTTTCTAATTATATTCTCCTCACATTCTTCTAGATATTTCCTTCTCTCAATGAGCCAGACTCCCAGATATTTGTATTTTCCTACATGGTCTATTCCTACATGGTCTTATATCCTCAGGATTCCCTCTTTTCGTCGTTAAACACCATTACTCCAGACTTGTCACTACCAAAAATCATGCCCAATGTGTCCCCTTCCTCTCCACATATTCCAGCTAGTTCCTCTAATGTATCCTAGTTATCTGCTATGAGTGCTATGTCGTCCCCATACATCAGTCCTGGTATTACCTATAATACTACAATTCTCCCTCCTTCCATATAGCCTTCGCTGTTTTTTTCTAAAAACAAATCTGTAAAGCCTAAAAAACAAAACCTTGTATATTTCTTAGATTCTTTTACGCATCGTTCTTTCACCGTAGACTTTAAATAACTTTGACACTGTCGCAAGCAACCATTTTCTCATAAACAGTGCATAGATCCAATCTTGCAAATACCGCGAAACCTTCAGTCTGGTTACACATAATATCAAGACTGGTTATAATGAAGTCAGTTATAACGAAATAGCGGCTACGGCGAGTCAATCATGATTTCTCATTCCCGTTCGCACTTTTTCAATGCATTAGTGTCTGTGTTTAATGAAGGAAATTTAGCAACTCTTGCAGATAGACCGAAGAAAAATTTTGTGATAATTTAAAAAAAGAATAAAACTCGGAATGTTTATGTCTCAGACCACCACACTTTGCTGCCGCGGCCAAGGAGCCACCCGGAACAGGCTGCAGAAGATGATTCGCCGGCGGCAGTCTCTGAAACGTCGTCTGCTCCTCGCTCTTTATCTGGGAAGCGGCTTTACCGCATCGCACGCGCAGAAGCCGTCGTGGCATGCCGAGAGGGACGTTCGGAGTGCTAGCAACAACGTACCGGCGGGAAATAACGGAGAGAGCCTAGATGTAAAAGAGAGAGAGAGCAGTAAGTACGCCTTCATTTGACTGTCGCGTGGCCAGCGTAGCGAGGAAACTTGGTGGTGAGGTGGACACGTTTGCAGAAGGTGAATGCTTTTGAGTCTTGACTCCTTGCATGCTGCAACTCGTTTTGCAGACGCGACCCACAAACCATGTGACCCCAATCAAGCAGTTGCTCAATCTCTTAAATCTAGGCTCTCCAGAGAACGACAAGCAAGCTTGAGCACGAACTCGGTGCCATGCGCGCTTCTTTGTTTGCTTCGTGATCCGTGTCGGCGTCTGATCGGTGAGGGTGCTCTCGCACGAAAAGTCTACTCTGCCTAAGCACCGATTCGGTGGATCATTGCCACTCAATGATGGAGAGTCCGACACAGCCGGCACCTCGACGGGGAAGACGGAGGCAATCTCCTTGAATCAAAAGCGTGCCATCCTCGACGGAGCGCGCATAAACGTAAACAATGCAGTTCACTATCGGCATCCTCCACGGGGCCGTCGCATCTGCCGACACGGTCCGTACGTAGCAGGATCTTTTTTCGATCGAAGCTTCTCGCAGTTGGCGAGAAGCGGCTCGGATCTAGCAGACGATGCTTGCAGGGACGCCTCGACTGCATTCTGCAGGCTCAATAAACATGTGCCCGTGACAACCCGTGTTATCTTTTTTTTTTTTGTTATCTGTATGATTTCATACATAATGAAGAAGCAGATATAGCGAAGCAATTTCTGATTCCCATTGACTTCGTTATAACCGGTTTCGACAGTATATCAGAAGAGTTCCAGGGCCACCCGAGAGGTGGCAGCAGCATTCCAGTCTGTTCTCTTATCGTAAATGCATACTAGGGACGCTACTCACTCAAACACAAATGTGGGAATTAACGTCTAGTCAAGACTCAACTACCGTCCTAGGGCCAAGGAACAAAAGATATGTGCGACTTGCCTGCGCCATTCGACGGCGAGGTGAAGCGGGGAAATCATGGGCTCCTCGGAGGACGGTGTGGTGCCAGCTTCTCTTCTCTGGAAGGGCAGCAGGCAGCCGTCTATCACCTTCTTCAAGTCCATCTGGGCCAGCAGGAGCCGCAGGCAGCTGCAACCCCCGAAACAGAGGACGGAAAGCCAAGAACTGAGCCGCGAGTTGCCCTTCGAGGCGCCAGGGGTCACGATTTCATGAGACGGACGTTAGCCAAGACTGAAGAATGAAGTTTCAGAAGATCATCCACCAAAACAAAAAATCTTATAACATATCATGTAAGGTGGTAGAGGTGTAGCAGTTCTTTGTCCAACAACGACACAGAGGGTGCACTGGCACGGGAATCCCTACAAGCTACGATGGTCTGCACCTCAGAAATTTCCCTAGACCCGTGTCAATGGAACTGTACCAGGACTTCCTTAGGTCTTTTACTAAAATGCCAGCTGTAAGTATAGCACTGTCCTGTCTAATTTATGTGCTTGTCTGTCCCTTTGCGATTTATACAGTATAGACCACTTACAACGTAACCGCTTATAGTGCAGGACCGGGTATAACGCGGCTTTTTTAAACCACCTGTTCGCCTCCCATAGAACTCCATGTAATTACACACTGCTTAAAATGCAGGCGCGCGAAGGGAAATACCGGTTATAGTGCGGTTTCTGGAACAGCCCGCCGACCGCGCCGACCGACCAGCGCAGCGAGCACGCTTCCCTGTGCGACACTAGATAACGGCGCGACAGCGCTAGCCGCAAGCGGCACTCGCGGGGCAAGGAGGTTGCTCGAAGAAGCGGGGAGAAGCGAAGAGAGGCTTCAGTTGCCATAGCGACGAAAAAATGCACGCACGTGTCGTTCACGTGCGTGCGTCCCTCCGCTGCGTCGGAAACAACCGCAACAACAGACCAATCGCAAGTCGAGGAAAAATGTTCGCGCCGTTCGCGCGCGTTGCATGCCGATCGCGGACCGGCTTCTTCTATCCGCAAACATGGCGTCGGTCGTGATCGTCGACGTAGACGGCGTAGTGGAAGCTCATCGTTCCACGTAAAAGCGCTATCCTTGACTGAATTTTCGTCGTGTGTTGCTATGATAACCCAGCACTTACTAGAAGGGAAGATCCACCTACTCGTGCGGCGATGTCGTGGCGGCACTCTCAAGACGGCAGAAACGCCCGTGTCGTCGTGTTTGTTTACTTCGACTACAGTGGTGCTTTCCAAGCATTTGTGTTTTCGAACATCATCCGGACCTCTTATTTAGAGCATTTCATGCCTGTGCTCAAGTTGAAGGTATTACTGGCGCGTACCGTATAAAGGATGCGAATTTTCACGCGTTTTCATCACCGGAGAAAAGTGATTAGGGTTAGCAATACTGAACGCTCGCGACGTCCGTCCGCAACCCGCTACGCCGTTTAAAGGCTGCGCCAGGCAAAAGTCGCTCATTTCTTTAAAAATGTGGGACACACTCGAGAAAGAAGTGCACTAGTCTGGTGAAATAAAGACTTTCCTCAAACTAAGCTTTATTTTTCATCTAACATAAAATAAATTTTTTTACAAAGGTAAGTTGTCTCATGGCATGTATTTTGGCCTGAAAAATTGATGTTTTGGTTATAGTGCGGTACCGCTTATAGTGCGGATTTTCGCGACTTCCGCGACATACGTTATATGCGGTCTACGCTGTATTATCGGTTTTACGTCTACTCAAAAAGAGCTATGCAAGAAAGCATGAGCACAAAGGAGAGGCTTTTCTTCGCTTGGAGTTTGTGATGCGAACTCATCCATAACTGTACATTTGGTAAATATATTCATTGTTATGGTCCCCAACTGTGGAGTTCCATCAAATATTTCTGGTTGCCACCATAAGCGACCTTCTGCTGCCTCGTCAATCAAATCTTGATGCAATTGCTACGACAATGAGAAAAGTAGAAGCATGATCACTACAGCTAAGCGGCACTCACTCGGCGGTTTTGGACTGTACAGCCAAGTGCAGGGCAGTGATGTTGTCGGTGGTCCTGCGGTTGGGGTCGGCACCATACTTCAGCAGGAGGGTGGCACAGTCAAGGTGTCCTTTCTGCACCGCTATCATGAAGGGTGTTGCCTTGTCTTCCGCACCCCTGTCCACCAGGGTCTCTTGACCTGCAAGTTGAAACGTCATCAACATCGACAAGAGAAAGCAAAGAGGCCACCCGAGGCCATCAACCCCTGAGCAGATTTCCCTCTTGTCCCCGACATTCTTTTGCAGAAATGTTCCAATTGTATTGTCGACGAAAAGTCAGTTGTCATTAGATCTCTCAGAGCCATGAATAAGCATTCATACATCTATGAACAAGCTCTGAGTTAGAGATTACATTGAAACGTGAAATCAGTTCCTCAGGAATTTTTCTCGAGGCTCAGCTTGGCTCGCTACTAGTGGAATCAGTTTCCAGATACACCGACTTGCACTCAAAGCTTTTGCAAATGAATGAATGAAAGACAGTCCGACTAAGTTTTAAAAGTGCCTGTTCTTCCTGGCGAGAGCCGGTATGGCTAAACAGACAACCAGATTACTGTGTGTCATACGAAATGCATAAAAGCTGCAAAAATTTAACTATTCCCTGGTACCTGAATTCAGCTTACACTCTCATGTGGATGGAGTCAGAAGCACTTCCCTCCTTCTCCACCAAGTGGCAGAGATGTCCTAAAAACATCCACACGGCATCTATGGAATGTTACGACACTTGTGGAGTGTTGGACACCCATGGAATGTTTTGGACATCCATGAAATTTTACGACATCCATAAAAGTTTTGGACATCCATGGAATGTTAGGAGATCAATGGAACATTGGAGCATTCATTTAACATTAGGACATCTATGGAACGTTAAAACGTCCATGGAACGTTAGGATATTCACAGTGGGTTAGGACATCTATTAGATGTTAAGACATCCATGGCAGGGATTCTCACCTTTCAATCTCAAGGAACCCCTACAGGTCTTGGCAGTGATGCAGTACAGCAGTGTAGAAGCCTACAGACCTTGTAAACCATAATGCACATACTAGGGGGCTGTTTGGCTCATAGTCACCGTAAAATTCCGAGAGGTAGCCCACTTAGAATCTATAAAAGATTGGGTGAAAATCAGGAGTGGGCCAACTTTCAGTGTGCAATAAAGTAAAGTTCAAAAAAATGCTATTTTTGGATCATGTGTCTTTGTCAAACTTGTCATTGCGGCGAGGGGAAATGAAGCAAAGATGAGTGTACTTCCCAGTCAACAGTGTTGGCTTATATCCTGCCATAGCTAACTAGACGCATTTACGCCAAGGTCATCATTGATCCAAACACTATGATTACTAGGAGTGGGCTATCTTTCGGTGTTTAAAATGAAATAGCAAATCAAGCCACAAACAGGGGTGGGTTCCCTTTCGGGGTGGGCCATCTCTTGCGATTTCCCAGTATGCTTCTGTGGACAACTCACACTTGCTAAACTAGAGCTTAAAGGGAAGATGGGGCACTTCTACATTTGAGAAAAAACGCTTGAATTGCATTCATTTGGTTTTTAGAATAACAGATATCAAAATTATATTTCAATGCGACGCGCCAGAGAGCCACAAGAGCAATTTCAAAATAGGGCTGAAGCCCCGCCCCCCTAGCCTTGGGCAGCCAAAAGATCCGTCGATGACGTCACGGACAGCGACTGTCTTTCGCGCGTTTAACAATACTTACGCAGCAAATGGTTTGGGTATTCGGGTTCACGGGGTAAAAATACACTAGAATTCACTTCTAGCTCATTTTTTCCAAGAAGCTCCGTAGCTTCCCTTTAAACTTGGAAAGCACTTTACTTAGACGCAGGTGCCATTAAGGAAGTTTGGGAACTTGGAGAACCCCTAAGGGTGCTCCGAGGAACTCTTTGGCTCCTTGGAACCCAGTCGGAGAAACTATAATCCGCAAGATGTTAAGACACCCATGGATTGTCGTTGTGCTTTAATACTGGAGCCTATGCTAGGCTCAGTGAACAACTAACTGCTTCTGTCCATTCTTCCTTGTCCTTCATCGTCCCCTTCCCCCAGTGGCAAAGAACCGCTCATAGACATGACAGAACGTCAAGATATCCAGAGGACGTCCACAAACTGCGTGCGCTGTGCCGCCAGGGCAGCTTCCGGGCGGTCTCACCTCTGTCCTTGGCAGTGTCCAGGAGGAACTGGAGACAGGCCAGCTGGCCCTGCTGGGCGGCAGCGAAGAGGGGCGTCATGCGGCACTCGTCCCGCACCCCCAGCCTGGCCTGGCGACCGTGCGCCACCAGGCACTGGAGCGTCGGGAGGTCGCCCCGGGACGCCGCCTCGTGGAGCGGGTACCAGTGGCCGCAGTCGCCCACGTTCACGTCGGCGCCTCCCACGCACAGCAGCAGTTGCACCACCTCCGTCTGCGATGACCGCGTGGCTGCGGTGCCGCATGAGAGCAGCGCGAGTTGTCGTAAGGGAAAAGACAGGTATTGAAGCCCCACATTAAAGTTAACTCCTCCAAAACTATAATGCCTGGGGCACGCCTCCGACCATTGCGTTTGGCGTCTCGTACCGCCCGTGCATCGAAAATGGTCTCGAAGCGGAAACAAATTATGTAACGGAAGCTGGCACGTCAAGGCTGATTCACACATTTCTGTTTTACTATGAACGAGCATGTAGTGACCTCCTGTAACTGCTTAACACGCTGCCGCCATCTACAGTGCAACCCACTTATAACGATAATGAGAAAAACCAAAATTTCAATTATTATAGCCGCTTATTGTTGTATCTGAACTAGAAACTGATCATTTCCAGTCTAGGAACTCTAGAAACTGATCATTATAGGCGGTACATTGTTATAAGTGGTATCATAAGTGGGCTGCACTGTATCAAGCAGACCTGAAACGCACCTCAACCACGTATTTATTTTTATTATCTTTTATGCACCATTCTTTTACCACGGGCTGATAATAATTTCGACAATGTTATAGGTGATCATTTCTCATAAAGAGTGCATAGGTTTTGATCTTATGAATAGCGCACAACCTCCAGTTTAATTACGCACAGGTTGGAAGTGTTTCAGGTCTATCCGATAGATGGCACCACTCAGTCACAGTCTAACGCAGATGTGAGAATCAGCCTTTACAGTTAACTGCACCAAAACCACGGTGCCTGAAATGCAACTGTGACAGCCATGTTTAGCATCTCATACTGCCCGTGCATCAAAAGTGGTCTCGACATATCAACAAATTACGTCACAGGATGTGGCATGTCATGGAGTCAAGATGTTGTGATCTCGGGGGTTGGTTGTAGAAGTTCTGGCAAAAAAGTCACAACTGTGGCTGTCGCCGCACGGCGTGCATTGAGGTAACTGCATGTCCATGCGATTACATAACCACACTCATACACTATTTGGCCCGCACTCAGTGAGTCAAATTTTGTCTTAGATGAGCAGTTGTGAAGGAAAACAATGCCTTAACGTGGAGCTTACATTAATGATTTGTCATTCAAATGACACATGAACGAGAGGTGCGTTCGGACAGAGAACATGGCCATAATACACAATTTCACTACATGACTAGGTCTTCACACATTTTGAAAGCTTTGCAAGTGCACATGTATCTTCCAGCTCTATGCACATCTAGGGAGTCTTCTGTCCTAGAGCTCAATGAATGCCGTTCAGTGGTGCAGTAGAAAGTACTGGCACATGTGCCTGTCGTGTACGGCAAACTGTTGTGGCGCGTTCTCAACAGAGGGCGCCACCTCACCGGCGCACGGGGCAGCAAGCAGGGGCAGCGCGGCCACAAGGACGCTGGCAAGATGGCGTAACGACCGAGTATCAATAAACATGTTCTCTCGTGACATATGAATGTTCGACCTCGGAAACATGACATGGTGGCAGCGGTAAAAGAAAGAAACGACTAACCTCAAGAACAAGTAGACGCCGTCCAGAGACCGGTGAGCGCCCACCAACTACTCAACATGCCGGACGAAGAAGGAAACATCGCCACACAAAGGGCAGCGGCAGCGCAGCAGCAAAATGGCGGGAACTTCTTCAACCCGTTCGCCATCGAACTTCCAGAAAAGTTGGACTTTCGCGATCCAAGTGACTGGAAACGGTGGAGTGCACGTTGGGAGCGCTACCGTGTCGTGTCGGGTCTTCACCTCCGCGACGCGGAAACACAGGTGAACACTTTTCTGTACGCGATGGGCAAGGGAGCCGAAGACATCTTAGCGTCATTGCAACTGACCGACGCCGACCTCGCCGACTACACAACAGTGAAAGGCAAGTTCGAGGAACACTTCATCCCCTGCACGAACATAATATTCGAGAGAGCAAAGTTTAACCGTCGTAAGCAAGAAGCGAACGAGTCCGTCAAGGCGTTCATCACGGATCTCCACAAGCTCGCCGACACGTGCGAATACGGTCGGCTGAAGGAAGACCTCATCCGCGACCGGTTGGTTGTGGGACTTTTAGACGTGGGATTAAGCGAGAAGTTACAGCTAGATCCCAAACTCACGTTACAGACCGCCACAAAGAAAGCACGTAACTCGGAAATCGTAAAAAAACAACAGAACGAGCTGCGCGATAAAGCTGAACAAGGTGCTGCGGTAGACGAGCTGCGAGGGCCAAAAGGACGCCTGAACTACGGAAATGGGCCACGAAAAGGAGGCAAGGCACCAGTCAGACATCCGACGGTACAAACCTCTTGCAAGTGGTGTGGCAGCACTCGACAACACTCAAAGAAACAATGCCCTGCGGCTGGAAAGCAGTGCCACAACTGCAGGAAGACCGGGCATTACGCCACTGTATGCTTGTCGGGACATCAACACTTGGGAGGAGAACCACAGCAGAGGCCATTCACCACAAAAAAAGGAACTGCAAATGCGGAGGCCGTGTTCCTCGGTGAGCTCTGTGACAAAGAAAACCAAGAGCCATGGTTCATCACAGCAACGGTGGAAGGACGTCCAGTGCACTTCAAAGTTGATACAGGAGCAGATGCCCAGCCTGCGAGAGGCACCGCCAAGCACCAACCGAGCATCTGCTTCAAACTCCTCTCCCAGAACGTCCTTGGCAAGTGGTCGGCACCGATTTGTTTTACTTCAAAGGAAGAAACTACATCCTAGCCGTCGACTACTACTCAAAGTTTTTTGAACTTGAAGAGCTGCACGGGACACTGACGAAGCATGTTGTCCATTTCCTGGAAGACCTGTTCGCTCGCTATGGCATTCCAGATATCATTAGGTCGGACAACGGCCCACAGTATAACTCACTCGAGTTCGCACAATTTCTGAGTGGCTGGGGCGTAGAACATGTGACATCTAGCCCACACTATGCCCAGAGCAATGGTGAGGCTGAGAGAGCGGTCCAGACGGCCAAAAACATTCTGCGAAAATCTGACAGGGTCATTGAAGGCCTTCTGGCACACCGAGCAACGCCAGGCCCTGAGGGCTACTCCCCTGCCGAACTTCTCATGGGCCGCAAGCTAAAGACAAATGTTCCTACCATACCTGAGGCATTGCAACCAAAGTGGATGTATCGATCCACGTATCGACAACGAAACAAGGCCATTCGGGAGAGGGAGGCGGAAAACTACAATATACGACACAGGACGCAAGAAAGAGAGCCCCTCCATCCAGGTATGGTGGTCTACGTCAGGCAAGGCACCCAACAACAAGGAACCGTTGTTGGACCAGCAGATACACTGAGATCATACATCGTCCAGACAGCCGCTGGGAATGTCCGACGTACAAGAAAGCACCTGCACGCAGTGCCTCAGGGAAATCTTCCTAACAATGGAAAACCGCCCTGCCCAGAAGAGGCCATTCAAGTCACCCGCAGCGGTCGAGCCGTGAGACCACCAGAACGTCTCAGCCTTTAGTTGAGCCAAAGACTCGCTTCTCAGGAGGGGGAGGTGTCGTGTACGGCAAACTGTTGTGGCGCGTTCTCAACAGAGGGCGCCACCTCACCGGCGCACGGGGCAGCAAGCAGGGGCAGTGCGGCCACAAGGACGCTGGCAAGATGGCGTAACGACCGAGTATCAATAAACATGTTCTCTCGTGACATATGAATGTTCGACCTCGGAAACATGACAGTGCCAACTCCAAAAGGCTGTTCTTCCGCATAACCATTCACACAACTTAAATATTTTAGAGAGCCGTGCACAAACACAAACATACCTCGCAGTATAAACAAACCATTCCAAGTGCTGACGAAAAAAAGCTAATGCCTGCATTGTATTAATGTCCTGTGCCTATTTACATTTGCCTTCACATAAACTGCACGCAGGTAACCCCATTTGAGCATGCAAAACACTTGCTCACGCTTTCCCCACCACAGAAAATCTATTGGAAAACTAACTGTTCCATCCGTTAGGGAGCAAACTGCTCTATCGCATTTGATTCCGGAATCAAAATTAAATGATCATCTCAGACTGCATTACCAGCCAGAAGCGGCGAATCCCCCTCATAGTCAGTGATGTTGACGTCGGCAGTGTGGCTTAGCAGGAGGTTGACAGTGTTGAGGAGAGGCTTCCCATTGAGCCGTTTGCAGGCAAGAAGCAGCGCTGTCTCGCCCTCGTACGTCTGCCAGTTGACGTCCGTCTCACCTTTTTGGGGAGAAAACAGAAACAGACCAGCGTTAACACAGCTCCGATGTCACATCGGCAGCCATTGCGGTAGCCTCGCTGGCTGGGCGCGTACCTTCTGCAGCTTACATTGTGCACCGTCGAATTTGTCTTTCTTTGCATGAACAAGTAAGAGTGACTATCAGCGTGTGATGCTGGTGGTCACCTCGTCACCAACGTTTGCACTGTTAATGTGGAGAGGGTGGAGGGCTTTGTGGGAGGAGAAAATACGTGGGGACGGAAAAAGAAAACTGACGTCACGTTTCTGGCGGGTGGTTAATTACGTCCTGATCATTGCGGTAACTGCATGCAGCATCAAAGCAAGAACACGAGTCATCGTGGGGGATCGTTTGAGAGATCAAAGGGTGTTTCCACTGACGCAATTTCATCCACCATTTTGTTGTTAGCAGTTGTCTGGCCCGTGCTGAAAGCGAGTATCGCGAAGATTCGCACGACACCCTCAAATCAAGAGTGCACAGAAGCTTGCAAGTTTCATCACGCCTCTTTTTTTTTTTTTTTTTTTTGATAAACCAAACACTTTTTTACTCACTCACTGTAACAACACAGTGGCAGATTGACTTCATGTGAAAACACCGAAATAAGCTTTGAGAAATGCACAACGAGAGCATGGGTTTCTTTGTTTGTTTGTTTACAAGATCCGATAAGGAGCTCATTCTAGTTGCCGACAGAATTACCTGACTTTGCTGACTGGGTAGCTTTCGCAATAAGCTTTTCACAGCGATAGCGAGAGGAGGGAAGGGGGAAGACTTCCTACTGTGTTTGAGGAGCACGTCGAGGACTTCGAGATTGCTGCCCGACGCCGCGGCTTCGTGCAGCGGGCGCCATCCACGGTTGTCGTGAACGTCGACGGGCCTCCCGCTTTCGATGAGATGCAGAAGCTGAGTCAGGTTACCGGTCCTTGCCGCGACGCCCACCGTCGAACAGGTATCGCTCCAGGCCTCCGTGAAGTTCATCTCCGGAGACCGTACAAGGGACCCCGAGCGCACACCACCTTGCCCAAGTAGGACTCAGTATGGACGCAAGATCCGATGCGTTCAGCGGAGATCTTGGTAGATCCGGCGAGTCCAAGTCACGACATTTTGTGTCGTGCAGCAAAACTCGAACAGTTTAAAAAGTCACCCGATTGAAAGTTCGGTGTGAAGTAAAGCTGCTGGAAAGCGGTAGGCTAGTTCCACGAGTGTAAACAAAACAGACTCAAAACAGAACGCTCACCATACCGAAACCCGCACGAAACCTGACCGAGATGCTTTGCGACTCTGCGTTTGTGGAAGGATAGATAAATAGTAACCGCCATTTTTCGTCGTATGGGCCGTAATTAGCGCCACCTATGGCGTTAAAATTGAATAGATTGGACATGCTTGCACAGGACGTCATTTCCGTTGCCCTCCAAAGAAGAGGGGAAGAAGCAGCTCCCCTCTTATCAGGACCCTCCTTTGTACCTCCCGGATTTGTACAGGCGTCGCTATTCTCCCCCCAGAAGATTATAGAAGATTTACCTGTCACTCAAAATTCTTACAAAAGCAGCTTCGCTCTCCTCCTCTTACTTGGTGTTCAAAAGTGTGCGATGTGACGTCGGTGCAAACCTAAGAACGAAGGGCGAGGGTAAGACGGGCCGGGGAGGAGGAAGCGGACGGAACGCTGGAGAAGAGAGGGGGAAACCCCTTCTCTCTTTAGCCTTCCGTCTGCTTCAACGAGGTAGAGGGGCTTAGAGCGATAAACCGGGGTTCCGGTCTCCACTCGAAAGTGACCCCCATAAGGAGGCTGCCATTGTACGCAAATTTGACCACACGTCACATGACCAAACCAAATACGTGACGTCAGAGGAAAGATGGCAGCGCCCATGCAGCGGCTGGCCCCAGCAGGGCCGGAGCTTGTCGGATGCTTTGTTGGTTGTCGTTCGTCTCGGCGAGTTGATTTCAGACGCGGAAGCCGTCATATGAGGCCGGTCGAAAGCGAGTTCAGAGTTCAGCGTGGTGTCTGACGTAGGTACAAGGTGAGAATAAGGAGGAACGGCGTGCATTTCGCTGGTGACCGACGGGGGTATTGCCACGAAAGAGACAAGCGGCCCTACGTTGCTCGGATCTCGGAGTGATTCGGTTACCTCTAGGATATTTTAAGGCGACGTTTCTGTGCTCGCGTTGACCATCGGAATCTTCGAGGTTTGCAGTGAAGCGTGTGAAATATATTTGGATACACAGTTTAGCGACGGAAATTGCGTGGGCCGTGCTTGGCGGTGTGCAATCGCGGTGCAGCTTCGATCAAATGACCCAGGGCTCACTTCGGTTGTGCGGCGCACCGGAAGGCTGCCTTGAAGCTGGTAGTTCCCGTGCCGTGCTGAATGATGCTGTGCTGCTTACAAATTGTTCCGGCGTAGAAGTGCGCTTTCACGGAGCACAGGTGTGCGGCGCACCGAAGAGCTGCCTTCAAGCTGGTAGTTCCTGTGCCATGCTTTAGGTGATGCTGTGCTGCTTCCGAAATTGTTCCGGCGTAGACGTGCACTTTCACGGAGCACAGGTGTTGCAGTTGGTATTGATTCCGCTGGTCTGTCGCACGTTTCGTCAACACAAACGTTTCATCCACACTCGTTACGCGAATTGCAAGCTGTCCGGACATTTCACCGAGCGTGTTACGTACCCAGCTCACGCCGCTTTGTGGCAACAGTCTGCAGTGGCTCATTACCAGAAAAGTGGTCCCACATCCATTTCAGTTCAGTTTGTCCACGGCAGTCGCCAAACCCCGAAGGAGAGGATTTATTCGGACAGAATGCCACTAAAGCAATGCAGCTTCTTCAGTGGTCAGGATAGATTATCTTCTGCTAGTTTTGTTATACTGTCACGGATCCTTGTTCCAGTCCTATCTTCTATCAATATTCACTATTCTGGGACACTGCAGGTCATGCTCAGCTGTAATCGTATGTTCAGGTGGAGGTGCTGGGCACTTTACCCGTAGCCCTTCACTCTGTGTGAACCCGGCGGCTCTTCAGCCGAGTTACCCGATAATGGGACACGGCTGGCGGAGTATTCTGCGTCTTATACCCCTGTCGAGCCGTAGGCAAAGTCCTGACCCGAGCCTGGCAGAAAAACCGCAAGACGATCGAGTGCCACAAGGAGTAAGCTCGGAAATACACCACGAAGCACCTGAAATCCGAGCCAGTTGCTGCTACCAGGAAAAACCACCGGAATTCGGTCTCCTGTCAGAAAATCCGAAGCTGACTAAGCCAACAATGACAAACCTGTAGCAGCAAACCGTGTCCCCTCCCACCATTGTTTGCATGCCCGTCGCAAATTACACTCCGACGCTTTTTCATGCAAGCTGTATGAAGACGTCAAGGACTGGATTGAACAATATGACAGTGTCGCCCGCCACATTGGGTGGACAGACAACCAGCTCCTGCAGAACCTATACTTCTCGTGGAAGCAACTGCCGGCGCTGGTCTGAGAACCATGGATCCTCCTTAACGTCATGGGAAGTTTGCAAGATCAAGCTGAAGCGCGCATCCGACAGCCAACATCAACGAAAGAGAGCCGCATTCTTGATTCTGTCCAGGACACTGTCCTAATGAGAGCGCCACCACACTCGTGGAGGATGTTTTGCGCTTGATCGAGCGCCCACGCCGACCTTGATGCTACAGAAGACAAGAACCTAAGAATCCCATGCGCCTCACGTGAGGGACAACACCTTCGGCAGCCTTGTCCGCAACACCCCAACAACAGTCGAAGTGTTCATATCACTGAGGCTTCCAACATGGAATGTGCACTGCATGCCCGAGCCTGCCACTATGAACAACTTCCCGGCGTCTCGACACTCGAGTTGTCCAGCTACTACTTCGACGCCAGCCTCCCAGGCATCCACGACATCACCCACGACGTTGTCTGGGAGGAGATCAGGAAGCTACTTCCTGCCATCAGTTGCCCGGCTCTTATTTTGATTACCGAGATTGTTTCGGAACAAGTTTGACAGGTATTTCAACCGAGACTTCTGCGAGCGAAGCGGCATCTGACAAACCAAGGGCAACGTGCCACATTGGCACGACGACCGCCACCGGCTGCCCCTTAGTATTCAATGCCAATTCAATGAGACACTCTAACGCCGAAGCATTCCCGACATCATGTGTAGGACTGTGCTCAACAAAGTACACCGAGGGAAACGTAGGTGATGCGAATGTGCGACCAAAAACCACTTTGCTACCACTGCATGAAGCCGACCATGTCTACCAAAGCAGCCCGTACCAATGAATTGTTCGGCGAGGGTTCGTGCCAAACGACCCTCGATTACGTCTCGAGGAGCTCACCTCAACAAGAGGTAAGCACGACAAAGCAGGTGAGCGGCGATGCAGTGACAGTGGATTTGGTGTCGGTTGTCGTCCAAGGACAATACCTAAAAATTTGCTGACACCAATTTTCTGTGTCCACTCCACGAAGCACACAATTTCCAACTTTGAGGGAGAATGCCCCTGAGTGACTTGAAGGAATAGAATGGTTGGTTGCTCTCAAAAGTGAACTGCAAGCATCACCAGACTTGGATAGCAAACAAAAATTGTTGCCAGCTTTCAAGTCAACGGTACAGCAAAAGGCACAGCCACGTAAGCAATAGTACATGCCCGAGCTTGCTACATTGATGGCGAAAACTACCAGGAAAATTTTCGGATTAGAAGCCAGCCCTGCAGCTTCAGTGCACATGACGTATGATTACAAGACAGCATCAGTCGGTCAAAGTTGCCACTCGACCAAACTGAACACCGACGTGCCAGGAGCGTCATCCGACAACAAGGTCCACAGGTGCTACGACTGAACGCCTGACACGAGACTGTCGCAGAAAGAACTCGTTATGGAACCATTTACTAAGAATCAATAATTATGTAATCAAGTGGAAATAAACATATTTGATACACTAACCAGATAAACATATTTCCGCTTGCCTTCATGCCTTGAGAGTCTACACACCGAGAATTGTGTCCATTGCACGCTCTGGACCTTACGAGGACACTCGCTTCTCTGACCCTTCAATATTAATTAAGGGGTCATACCAGACTGGCAGACTTCTTGCAAGGGGCTGCACTCGTTCAACCTTTCCTGAACATGTGGTGCATCCGAAAACCAACTCCAGTGATGTGAAAATGTTATTTATTAATTTATTCCTTCCAGGGGCCTTCGTAGGCATTGCAGAGAGGATACTTAAAACTACACACATGATAATAGCATTAAAGCACACTGCTGTAACTTGTTAATTGGAAAAACAAACACACCTCTGAGCATATAGTTTAATAGTATGTGTTGATGCATTGTTATGTAGCATGACACTTCCTATATGTATGACACAATAGACCCTTTGCAGAACCTTATCAAGCAACACAACCGTCACCATTTTTTTCGGCGCAATGCACACAAATGGGCCCCAGTTCACGTCGAACGCCAATGCAGCATTCGAGTCCAATAGGTGCCGAGCCGAATTCACAGGGATGGCGGACATAACATTCTTGTCGAACAAATACCCAAAGTATGAAAGCCTGGGGTAATTACAGTAGTAGCTACTGTAATTTGTTTCATCAGAATTTGGCAGACGGCAAAGGCTACGGTCTCGGTGAGTCAATACACACATTGGAGAGAGGCACATGACAGCATATCACCAGAATGCTTGTCTGCACAGATTTGTCACACACTTTCGCTCCGTCTCTCTGATTGGCTCGAGGGGGCTGTGGCGGTTGGCCTTTTCCAAGTTACGGTGACGCGAAGTATAGACAGCCCACACTTTTACAAAGAGTCTATTGAAGAGACCGAAAGGAATGGTAGTCAACAGTTTTCAACAAGACTGCTCTCCAGGAAAGGGATGAACACAAATATGAATCATCTTATCCAGGTAATTAGAACAATTAAATAATTGACCGACTAATACAATGCACTCCTGATGGAAAAGAGTATAGCTGCAATAAATCCTACAAAAAAGAAAAAATGCGCAGTTAATCTATGCATGCACCAAAACAGTTGTCCTTATAGCAAGTCGAATAGCTTTGAAGCAGGTGCCTGCAACGATTTATTCTTCCCCATACTCAATAAAACGCCAACCTCGTAGCTGAAAATAAGGGTGCACTTCGCACTCACACACACACAAAAAAAAAAGGAAGAAAAGCGATCGAATGTCGAATCGTGGATTAGCACAAAAGGTTAAAATCGCAGGAGCTTCCTCGCTAAAAGTTGCTCTGGTTGTTCGGTGACGGAGGGCTGAATCAACTTCCCTTAGGGCCTAACGCGACGTATACATTTCGCGTAGATTCTCAGATATTTCAACGTTCAAACAAAGCTAAGAGAATGCGAAAATTTCATGTTAAAAGCACTCAAAGTTATATCGATCCTCGGACACATCCCGGAATCCAAGCACCGGTACGGCGATGCAGAGCTGATGCTGTCTCACAGGCGTTAATATCCAGATGATCCAGAGCGATCTTGCGCAAAAACGGTATAAAGTCTCATTCCTTCATATTTTCACATTATACCTGCGTCAGCGAGCACGAAGAAGCCCGTAGTCGTCGGAAAGCAGCTGCACATCACGCGCACCGAACAAACTCGCATCCGCCAGCTCTGGGCGCTGCCATCTTACCTGTGACGTCACGGCTCTTGGGAGGTCACGTGACGAGTGGTCACATTTGCGTAAAATATGGCGGCAACCGGGGGGGTGCCACTTCCGAACTTCCGGTTTATCACTCTAAGCCCCTCTACCTCGTTGGTCTGCTTCCCCCTCCTCCCCGGCCCGTCTTACCCTCGCCCTTCGTTCTCAGGAGAGCCGCGGCTAGTAGAATATTTTTATTTAGACCAGAGGTCTCCAAATCCTGGCCCGCGGAAGTCTTCCGACTGGCCCGTGGCTGACCACGGTCCTGCTCATCGTTGGTCCTGCTACCGGCGCGGCGCTGCAACGCGTTCCAAATTAAAGCACTGGATAATATTTCGTTTCCAAATCTTCCAAATTAAAGCCCCTCTATCTTGGTAAAAGTGACGCCGTTCATTGTTGAGGAAATGCTCGAGACACGTGCCGCGCGCCACTTCTGGGAAGGACATGGCGTCTGAAACACTCAAGGAGGATAGAAGCGTAGGAGAGGGCATGACGACAGCCGTGAAGCCTCCACCCTCCACAAGCCATGCTCCCTTGACGTCTCGACTCTTTCTCATTTTCCTCCTTACTCTCCTCACTTACCACGCCAACGCGACCACATCACGTGACCGTCGCTAGCCTTCGTCTAGCTATGGGGTACTAGAATACACCGCAGGCCAGCCTTCAATCTGATAAAACCCACCGGACGGAGCGCGCGCAAGCCTGCAAGGTGTCCTACAGTCAACCATCCATCTCACACGTGACATGTCACGCGCACCAATAGCCAGAGAGATCTACGGTCACGTTGGCCACAACCATGGCCACAACATTGTATAAACTTTTTATGGCTAGGCTTCACCAATATTGCAACGTGCCCTCTCCTAGTACTTCTAACCTCCTTGGAAACACTGATCTCTATTGTAGTCTATGATTGTCAAGGAGGTTAGAAGTACTATCCTCCTTGATGATTGTAGCAGGCTGAATCGCGGACCGCGGCCACGGCAGCTGGGGGCTGGGGCCGAGTGTCGCCACCGGCGGCCGTTGATTCACTCCAGCCAATGAGAACGAGAAAAAGTGCAGTTTCCCCCGTTTCGAAACTGTTTTCGGCACTGAATAACGGTTAAGAGTTGAGCTTGTTGGTACATGCTTTTGGATAAGCCCGTTAAATAGCTTGCGAACAAACATTACAATTGACAGCCCTCGCAGATCTCATAAATAAATATTTTGTGGTCGAGAGTGACTCCACTGTAGTACAGCTCAATGAGGCGAGACTGAGAGATACCTACACCCATTTTCACCTCAAGAAAAAAGGAAGTTTTGCGCATTGTTCATACGCGGCGCGAAATAGTTCTTACGAGATTTGGTTATCGGAGGAAAAAGCGATGCTTTTGGCATTTGAAACGTGTACGTCTGGATAAGATAACATATATATAATATAAGGTTTACCCACATATATCTTAATTATCCACATAAAGGGCGAAATTAGTAATGGTCCGCGTGGCGCCGGACTTTTTTTACTATGGTTCTTGAGGTGAAAACGGGTATAGAGTTACCGCGGGGTCGGTGGCGGTTTCGTTGAGTTAGGTTTAACAGACGACAAGCACGAAGGGATTCGCTCACTCCCAGAAACCCGCTGTCGAGATGGAACTTTTTCGACATTCATCAACTTCTGGGCTTCCACGAGGATGGTCTCATTGACGGCAAGTTCCTTTGTTTACTCCTATGAGAGCAACCTTGCCCGCTCAGCCGTAGGTGCTCCTGTACGTTTGATATTTTTAGTCGGCGACCGAACGTTTGACATATACCGATTCGATCTCCAAACACCCGACATAAGGTTCGCAGCACACCATGAAATACTCGCCTCCGAGCACAGCGTACATGGTTCAATATTCTTCCTTCTGTGCGTTCCTCCCATAGACTTGCGTGTATTGCATGGTGTCAAGCAACATGGCCGCCGGTGGCGACACCGACGGGCTCCGGGTCCGCGATCCAGCCTACTACAAAAGAGATCAATGGTCTGAAATCCAAAGTAACGTTGCTGAAATCTAGCTCAGTCCATCGCTGTGCCGCCATGATCTTCCCATGGCTGCACGTTACACGTGCCTCGTGTAACGTGTAACGTCTACTTTTGAAACATGAAGGGGCTTTATTCCAAATGGGCAAACGAAGATACCAGCAAGTACTTGATACCAGGAAGAACGAGATATACTTTCGCCGAGGCACGTAGCCAAAAGGGGGGGGGGGGAGGAGGAGGGGGGGGGGAGGCAGCTAACACCCCCCCCCCCCCCACACACACGCACACATACACATAAAAATCGCAACTTTCAGCAGTGAAGGTACCGCGGTGTGAGAATCGCGGTGCCTGATTCCTGGGTGATCGGCTTCACAATAAAGGTGCTTGCTTACGTGCCCCCTTTATAACAAACAAAAATTCGTGACGTAAAGAAATGACGTCACTAGAGTGCGCATTGTCACAACTATTTAATATTGTGTAAGCATTGGTTCAATCATTCTCATTAGTCTTTTGCACTGAGCAAATGTACAAAATTTTCCATGCTCTTTGGTTTACGTCTGGTGAATTTTCTTAGCCAATAGGACAATATTAAAGGGACCATGAAATGACCTTTTTACTTTTGCCAGATAACTTTTACATTAGGGAGTTTTCGTAAACAGCGTTTCCTCCTCCGCTAAGCCCTCCGCAACGAAGTAGCCGCTACTGCGCCTGCGCGCCCATGGCTGGAGAGGAGGCGACCTCCTCTCCAGCGTCCGGAAAGAAAGGCGAAAGAGGTGGGAGGAGCTTTCACTTCCTTCTGGACCTGTCATCGACTATTATAGTCTGAGAGAGCCATGTAAAATGACGTCTGTGAGTAAACATATGATGCTATCAAAGTCGCGACATTTGACAATACTTCCGTATTCGCCGCCAATCTTTCCGAATCAAATGCCCCAAAATACACACACAAAAAAAATAGTTTTTACAGAACTTTCTAGAACATTTGCTTTAATTTGTACGCGCCGTCGTTTTGTCAGTCTCAGCTTTTTCAATTCGAAAGAACGGCTACTCGCTTGCACCTCACTGCATCACGTTTTGTTCGCGTTGGAAAACCGGTGAAACAGTAGCGAGTTTTAGTATTGCGTATACGAGTGAACGCAAACACTCTGTCTGCGTTAACGCGTGTTCCACACTTTCCGTGCGCGGGGCCCAAAATTGCGGTCTTGGATTGGTCCATGGCGACGACGCGCATGCGCAGCATGGAGTACGCAACTCAAACGCAAACGCGCTTCTATACGCACTAGTAAAGCTCTCCAGTAAGGTACAATCTCATACCGCCTGCAGCACTACGTTGGGACAGTGAAGAGTATTGTTCGCATTCGGCAATAGTTGTTGACAAGCCATGATTGCGAGGAGTTCCGCCATGCCCGCTGAGCAGGAGAACCGGGGGACCCTCACAAGAGAGCTTCCCGTTTCCACCGCGAGAGGGCGAGCAACGAGCTGCGACATTCACCTTGGGAGATCTAGGATCGTTTTTCCCTTTTTTAATTACCCTTTATTCTGGCCCCGAGACTGCTACAGATGCTTAACCCGGCCCCTTAGCCAAAAAGACTAGAGACCCCCGATTTAGATCATAACAAGAAAGAAGGAAAGGGGCCGTCACTAGGGTGACCCCCACTGCTCCTTTCCCTCCCTAGAGCGGCTCCCAGGGCAATAATCCCCCGCGAACCCCCCTTCCCCTCCCCCTCCACCACCTTCCCTTCCCCAAGCCTTTTCCCCTTTCCCACCCGTTTCCCCGATGCAACACCGGTCGATGGCGCTTTGTGGTGTACGTCCTTCCACTAGTCCGTGTTTTTCGCGTTTTTAATACTTTACAACGCACCACCAGCACGGAGGGAATGGAATAACGGGCAGGACGACACAAAATGTCAGCTATTTTATTTTCTTCTTGTCTCAGGGTTTGAATATGAGGTTTTATTAGGTGTAATAATATTTTAAGCCTCGTCATTCATCGAGCTGCCGTCGTAATTCGCAGCAAATGGTTTTCCCGAGCGGCTTTCGGGAAAGTGAACCTAGATTACGGATATAAACGACAAGTATGGGGAGCAACCAAGTATAGCCTTTATTCCGAGGTTGTTCAGGCCGCTTTATTTTTCATTACGGGGCTGTTTCAAAATATACACACAAAAAAAAAAAAAAAAAAAAAAACCAACGCTTTAAGTGCCACGTGCAGGCCCATTCATCCCCCTTGTACTGTTCGTGAGGTGACGTGGGAGGAAACAACCTGCCGTCCACTCCCCATCATCGGTCCTTGTTCGGCAACGGGCTCGCATCCAGGGTCACTTCTGTAAAAGTCGCAGCATGTTATGTCAGTTAAACCCCGCCCTCTCCCCCCCCCCCCCCCTTACACAAACACAAACACACAAAAATCGCTACTTTCAGCAATGTGCACCGCGGTGTAAGAATCGCGCTGCCTGATTCCTGGGTGATCGGATTCACAATAAAGGTGCTTGCTTACGCTTTTGTGACGTGAAAAAATAATGTCTCTAATATCGCGCGGACATAGCAAAATTAGAATTACTTATGCGTCGCAGATACCTGTGATCTACGACGATCATTCTGATGACAGTCATTTCGATAGGTGCCAGTGCGCCCTTACAGGACCTCTAAACTCGTCAAAGACAAAGTTGGGGCCGAGGTTGACCGAGCGCACCAATTGGAATATCACGACGATGACTTTGCGCTTTCGTCGCCGACGTCCAATCGGCGCGCTCCGCAAACTTTTGGCTCCAACTTTGTGTTTGACGAGCTTAGTGCCCCAGGTCGTGCAAGTTGAGAATAATATAGACACTTTTTGAAATTCGCGCCAGTAGAAGGTTCAAATCCATGCACAATGGCGGAACAACTGACATCGTGGAACGTGCAAGTCATTTCACGTGATAGCGAAAGTCGGAGCGCGGCCAACGCTATAGAGCCGACGATCCAATCAAACAGCATCAAAAGTGCGACGTCACTGCGCTCATCCCCTTTTTCTGTGTGTGTGTTTTTGCTATCTAATAAAGCCAAACGCATGAAGTGGGCGCCGTGACGTTGCGGTTTTAGTCCGCCGTCGTACAAGGATTCGACAGCTGCACTATTTTGTACAACGTTGTCAAAGCTCACCTGCAGCTTCCACAATGCTCCAACTCTGCTAAAGCTAGTTGCGCGAGCGCATGCGAATGAGGCGCAAAAGGCAAAACCACTTGCTCTCACAGCAATGCGGGACTGCTGCACAAGCTTTGACAATGTACCCAAAAGTTTGAGTAGATCGTTCTGATCACTCCGATAACGATACTCGGCAGCCGCATTTGCGCAGCGTCGTATCCCGTATCGTTGTCGGGTGCATTGCAACGATCCACTAAAACCCTCTATAAGGAATATTCACTGGGCGGCCATATTTGTGGGTGATGTCTAGAGCGCATGCTCTGAACGAGCCCACATTAATAGGCTGCTAAGACCGGCAATCTTGAGGGTGCGGAATGCACGTTACAAAAGAACTCTGGAAGCTCGCCATCAGCACGCGCTCAGCAGTCGTTCACACAGCTATGGCCGCCAGTGAATACTTCCTATGCTTCGTTTCAGCTTCAGTCCAGCCGCTATTGATCCTATACCAGCTAACGGGCCCAACCAAGCAGCGACAGAGGCGTAAGTCACGGGGCCTTTTCTGTTCATGGGTGCTTCAGCGATAATGGAACACGTACAAACTTGACGAGCACTAGGATGGTGTGCTTTGTATATGAACTGATAACGTCGGCTGCGTGTATACTTGAGGTGAAACCAAGTATAATAGGAATTAAAGCATCCGATCAGGCCTTTGTATGCGTCTTCATTCCCGTCAAAAAGTCCCAAGTATATGGGACCTCAAATTCGCATTCAATTCCTAAAAAAAAAAAAAAAAAAAATTGCCAGGTGCGTTTAAGAGCCGTGAAACACTCTTATCAGCTCATATTGCGCGCGACGGTACGCTCCGTCCGTGACGTTACATTTTGCCGACGGCATTACGATTGTTCGTGACGTAACATCTCTCCTCAAAAGTGCACAGAAATTATTAGTTAAAAGATTATTCTTGCGCAAACGTGCAAGCAAAGTGTCACGAACGTTCTTTTCCTTGGACGATAAAGCTTACCCTTGGTTGCTGGCTCTTCTTCTACGAAAGGATCAGAAGAGCCAATTAGCCGCGGATTGGACAGTTCCATGTGTATAAAAAGTAACAGCGCAGTGTGGCGATGAAAGCGGTTTAGCCGACAAGGGTTTCCCACGACCACGTAGAATAATCAAGGGCCAGCATCCGACATATATGTCTACGCTTAATCTCACTATCATGTCGTCAAAAATGCTAGTGCGCAGGCTTCGAGTATTTGCTGTTGGCTCTCGTCAAATGACGAGGCGACGAGCTTCTATATATACATAGATATACGGGTCAGACGTAGCAACATCCAAAATGACAGTCGTCAGAAGCTCTTCTTTGGACTAAGTATTTTCATCTGCGAAGGAAGAAATCATCGCACATCTTTCCCAACCCTCAATAAAAAGCTAAACAAAAAAACTGATTGGAAATTGTATTCGGTATATTTCTTTTATCTTTTCAAGGTTCTCGACTACGCATGCGTGGCGCCGCCATAACTGTAGTTTATAGGAGGCAGGAACCAGTTCACGGAACAGCTCATGTCGCTCCGTGCTCTGCTCGCGCAGACCCAGCAGGGTTATCGCTCGTGCAGTAAGAATACATAGAGTTCCAAGGATGCACGGCGGCAGCGGTGGTATGATGAAACTGGCTATGAGATCGGTCTATTGGAACAGTTCCGGAGAAATTTTGATCGTCAGTTTTTTGCCTCGAAATTGGTTCAACACATTAATAGAAAAACAGGACATGCAACGTTTTAAAATGTAAGCTAACATTATGATGAAAAACGAAAGAAACGTAGGCAAAACTTTTTTTTATTACGGCCATGACGTACATAAAAAAAAAATGGAATGTTGAAAGTAAATGAAATTCGACATCTTACCGTCTTCCTTCTCCTTTGCTTTCTCTGTAATTTGAAATTGGAAACACACGGTGCTCTAGTTAATTAGGCATCGACTTATTCTAATCAAATTTTGTTTGTCATTCGAGAACCAAGTAAAAAAATAAAAAAAGCCTTGCAACTTGATCAGAAGTTTAAATCGTGATCCGATTTTTAGTGTACGTCCACCGAGTTTCCATCTCCCTTCACATGTCTGAATTCATCAACTCTTTAATGAGCCTAATTATTCCTTTAAAAATGTTTGCTTTAAAAACTGTAATTCAAGTTTCACAGTTTGCGTTTCGTAATCTTTCAGCGGCCAGATAGACCAACCCATTGTTTGCAAACAAGCCCGCAGGCACCACCGAATGCTCAGCCTCTGTCGAAATGAAGCGCTAGCGCTTTGGACCACATGCCAAAGCTTTATAATTAACCGTCATCTTATTAAAAACATTATGTTATTTTTTTTAAGTTTCAGTGGGAAGTAGTGTTGCCCGAATATTAGAGTTGTTGAATAGTGGTTTCGAATAATACGTTATTCGATATTCGTATTTCTCGAAGAGTTAATCGCGGTGAGTCAGGCTCGTTGAGTGCGCTTCTGGCCAAGCACCTTAGCACTGCGGGGAAGCAATACACATAAAGCTCGTGGGCTCCGCGAGTGTTGCTTGCCCGCAGTGGACGAGTGCTCGGTGTGAAGCGCACTCAATGGGGCTAACCCGCCGAACCCGCCGTGAGTATGCAAGAACATACATTTGTTAGGCAACGATGTCTTGACAACCCGTGCTCATCATTCGTGCTTGTTTTTTGTTGTGTGTGTGTACATTTTTGAAATTTAAGACAGTATTTTCATAGAGCAAGCAGATTTACAAATCTTCTCGATTAGGATAGCTATGACAATGACTTTTGCATGCCATAGTTCATTAAAACTAACCGACTTTAAAAGTGGACAAGTGTAAGGTTGAGAACAAGAACAACCAGCCCGAGTTTAGCCGAAATTTCGTTTAAGCACAGCGCACGATATTGAAAGGCTTGGAGAAATTATTCGATTGGAAAATATTCGTCACAAAATCAACATTAGCCTCCAATTCACTTCAAACTCAAAATTCACCATTCGCACATGACTAGAAAATGGGGCTCGTTCCCAGTTGTTAACGCAATTCATTCATCGGCCATCATTTTCCCATTGAAAATGAAAATATCCGAAAACCTCCTTTGAATCAAATAACGGGAAGCTGTGAATGTCATCTGGTCCGGACCTGCTAGCACTACATTGGGGCACAGATTGAGTGTTCGGCGATGAGTAATTTATGTTTGCAACGACAAAAAACATTGTAATTTTTTTTCTGAGTCGTGAAAAAGCTGTTTTTGTAATTTCCACGAGTCGTGTTCGGTGCTTTGTTCATCTGGCGTAACAAGACCATAGTTAAACAAAAACAACTTTGATTGGAAATCGTATTTGGTTTATTTCTTTTATCCTTTCTAAATTCTCGACCACGGATGCGTGGCGCCGCCATAACTGTAGTTTATAGGAGGCAGGAACCAGTTCACGGAACAGCTCATGTCGCTTCGTGCTCTGCTCGCGCAGACCCTCAGCAGGGTTATCGCTCGCTCAGTAAGACTACATAGAGTTCCCACGATGCACGGTGGCAGCGGTGGTATGGTGAAACTGGCTATGAGATCGGTCTATTGGAACAGCTCTGGAGAAATTCTGATAGTCAATTATTTGCCTCGAAATTGGTTCAACACATTAATAGACACACAGAGAGCGCAAAGCTTTAACTGTTTGCTAACATTTTGATGACAAAAAAAAAAAAAAGGAAACGTAGGCGAAGCTGTTTAGCATTACAGCAATGACGTACATAAAAAGAATACGAATGTTGAAAGTAAATGAAATTCGACATCTTACCGTCTTCCTTCTCCTTTGCTTTCTCTGTAATTTGAAATTGGAAACACACGGTGCTCTAGTTAATTAGGCATCGACTCGTTCGAATCAAATTGTGTGTCATTCGACAACCAAATAAAAAAAAAGAAGTCTTGCAACTAAATCAGAAGTTTAAATCGCGGTTTGATTGACAGCATACGTCCACCGAGTTTCCATCTTCCTTCAAATGTCTGAATACCACAACTTTTAAATGAGCGTAATTATTCCTTTAAAAACAAGTTTGTTTTAGAAACTGTAAGAGTACAGTTGGTCAAGTTTCGCGTTTCGTAAGCTTTCATAGACCAACCCACTGTTCGCAAACAAGCCCGAAGGCATCATTGAATGCTCTGCCTCTGCTCAAATCTAGCGCTAACGGTCTGGACCACATGCCAAAGTTTTATAATTAACCGTCATCTTATTAAAACATGTTATTTTTATTTTTTTAAAGTTTCAGTGGGAAGTAGTGTTGTCCGAATATTCGAGTTTTTGAATAGTGGTTTCGAATAATACGTTATTCGATAGTCGCTTCGAGATGAACTGCGATATTCGTATTTTTCGAAAAGTTAATCGCGGCGAGTTAGGCTCGTTGAGTGCGCTTCTTGCCAAGCACCTGCGCACTACGGGGAAGCAATACCCATAAAGATCGCGGGCTCCGCGGGTGTTGCTCGCCCGCGGTGACAAGTGCTTGCTGTGAAGCGCACCTAACGGGGCTAATCCGCCGGACCTGCCATGAGTATGCAAGACCATACATTTGTCAGGCCAGCGATTTCTTGACAACCCGCGCTCATCATTCGTGCTTGTTTTTTTTTTTACGTACATTTTTTTTTAATTTAAGACAGAGTATTTGCATATAGCAAGCAGATTTACAAATACACTCAATTAGGATAGCTGTGACAATGGTGTTGTTTGCATGCCATAGTTCAACAAAACTAACCGAGCTTAGAAGTCGGCAAGTGTAAGGTTGAGAACAACAACCTGCACGAGTTTAGCTAAATTTTCGTTTAAGCAAGGTGTACGGTGGTGAAAGGCTTTGGAGAAATTATCCGACTCGAAAATATTCGTCCAAAACCAACATTCGCCTCCAATTCGCTTCGAACTCAAAGTCGCCTATTCGCACATGACAGAAAATGGGGCTCGTTCCCCGTTGTTAAAGGGACACTGACACCCCCCAAATTTTTTTTTTAATTTTTTGCCAGGCGCTTCATTATGGTGTCGGAGGACTACCCAATTAATATTTTGCAACAGAGTAGCGTATTTTTTTAATAAAGTCAAAAGGCGCAACTGCTCGAAACCGAAACCGAAACCCGACTGAGGTCGGAGAAGTGGAGAGAAGAGAATGAGTGGCGGAAGTCACGTGGCTACACCCGACCCTTTTTTTTTTTTTTTTTTCTCCTTCCCGGTAGCAGACGACATGCGGTGTTTGGGAACTGCTCGCCGTGGGATTCTTTTGCAGTTATGTATGTTCCGCTCGTTGTTCTCTACTCCGAGATGAGTTGTTTTGTACATTGAGGAGTTGGAGATGAGTAGTGAGTGCCCGTGGTGAATTTTGATCGGCTCCGAAAAGAATACACCAAAGATGTTGCGTGAAAAGCTGGCTCACATGTCCCGCGTCCGAAACAGAAGTGGCATTGTGCGACAGAGCTTCCGAAAGATCAACGGGATCGGGACCAATGGCTGGCTGCAATTCCTCTAAACCATTTACGGGCACCTCGGAAAGCGGACGCTACCTGATTTATATGCTCCTTGTATTTTGTGGAAAGTGATTACATTGAAGAAGAACTTGTAGTTGGGCTAGTTGGTAAACGCTGGTATTCTGTTTGTCTCTTTCTCTCGTGTCCGTGTTTTTGCGCCTTGTAACATGAATACCAGTGATTACATTGAGTTCGCAGGTGTCAAAAAGGATATCCCATACCATCTAATTCAGCGACGCGTCGTCCACAACATTTGTTTCTTTTTTTTTTTTGTTTCTTCAGTAATAATTGTAAAAAAAAAAAGAAATGTAGAAATCAGAAAATATTTAGAAAAAAAAAAAAAAAAAAGGTTTTACGGGGGATCGAACCCGGTCCTACCGCGTATGAAGGAGACGTCTTTTCCACTGAGCTACTGGGGCATATCGAAAGTGGGGTATCTTTTTCCTTAGTAATAATTCAGCCGATAAACTAAGTTGGAAAGTTTGCTGCCGATTTTCCTCTAGCAAAAGCACTCCCGGGTCGAAGTCGGGATGCACCACGCATTGGCGACATTCTCACCTAGTAGAGAAATCGTACGCGTGCATATTCCACTCGAAGTAGACACGTCGCGCTTGACGTTTGCGCGAGCGATGACTTCAGCCACAAGAAGGGAGCGACGGCTCGGCGACGTCTTCGTGCAAATCGGCTTGGTGGTCGGGCGTGTCGTACGGGATGAATACCAATTCTTTTGACCAGTCCCAAATTTCTCTTTTAAAGGCAGACAAAATTCGCCGGTACCGCGAACGACAGTTCTGAAATAGAGGTCCCACGCCCGTCGTCCGCTGCCATCGCCGTCCCTGCGAGTCCCACGATACGCGAAACGACGCACGCACAGAATGCTTCCGGTTGTCTGTGGAACTTTTTTTTCAATCGACGTATTTGCAGCTTTTTAGAAGCCACAAAAAATGGGTTTTATATTTTTTTCTATTTTTAATATTGAGTGTGTGCTTTCAGTGACCCACGACTTCGATTAAATTTGGTGGTCGCATCGATACCTTAGAAAACGGCCCGTGACCACGGAAAAGAGAGTGAGCGAGACTCGAACCGGCCAGTTCTTGATCGGCGGTTTTCGGGCGGAAAAAAACCGAATTTCGAGCCGCAAATTCTGTTCTGGGTAGTTGAGCTCTCATATGTCACGTACAACTAAAAACCTCGGCGAGCATAAATACCCTGTCAGTGTCCCTTTAACACCATTCATTCATCGGCCACCATTTTCCCATTGAAAATTTTCGAAAATCGCGTTTGAATCAAATAACAAGAAGCTGTGAATGTCATCTGGTCCGGACCTGCTAGCGTTACATGTGGGCGCAGAGATTGAGCGTTCGGCGACGAGTAATTTATGTTTGTAACAAAAAAAAAAAAAATTGTAATCTTTTTTTTTTTTTTTATTGTGGAAAAGCTACTTTCGTAATTCCCACAAGTCGTGTTCGGTGCTTTGTTCGTCTGGCGTAACAAAACCATAGTAAACAAAATAAAAAATAAAAATAAAAAACTCCTTGGTAAAATGGGGTTCGCCAAGCTTACCGTGCTTTTCGGAATTTTTAGATGATGCCTTGCGCAACCTCGATTTCTTGGCCGGCTTTTTCAGCGCTGAATGGAGACGTGAATCTTTGTAGGCACTTGCAACAAACCCTTTTGCCTAAGGCTCGTTCACAGACCACCGACTGCTAACGACTGACTGGATCTCTCGTGATCTCATACGACGGAAGTAGACACACTGGCGCCATCTAACGGGTAGTTGTGGAACACTTCGTATCACTTGACATCGCGATTCGACGCCGTCAAGTCACGTGGTACCACGACGGCACATATCGTCACGGTGTCAAATCCTGGTGTCACGGCGTCAAGTTTCCCGCTAAATTTACCGAGGAAATGCATGGACTGGCAGACGGCCGGACGGGAAAAGTTCTGGTATTGTAGAAGTTCCCTTACAAATCATTCGACGGTTTAAAACTGTTCTCGGCTGTGACCACGCTCGCGAAGGGCGCACGTAACAATGAGATGACTCCGAATAATACGTTTGCTTGGCGCGGGTAAGTGCTTCGTTACAGTTTTTTTTTTTTATGGCTTTACAAGGCTGTTTTTAGAAGAGACGTGAAGCTGTACGGATCGCAAGTTCGTCTGCTTCTTTTGCAGGGGGTTGTGGTGACGTCAGAAAGACGCCGAGCTCTAATTGGCTCTGATTGGAAGGATTGTGGGTAGACCTCAAAAGAAGCTGCCTTAAAGGGGCCCTGCAAGCACTTTTTACTGGATTTTAATTTGCACCGAACCTGAGCGCGCTGACCGCAGTAACTTAATGCAATTTTTCTTTTCTCGAATTTCGCTTTATTTTAAAAGTTATAGGGAAATTAAAATTACAAAAACAAGCAAAAAATAACCTCCCTCGTGACTTCCTTGGTTGCTTCCGTGGCCGTGAACTAGGAGGAGGGATAGTGAGCTCAGCGAGCGCAAACGGCTGCCGCACTCCGTGTCGACGGCGCGAGAGGGCGCCACTAAAGCGTGTTCTGGATAGGCTGTATACAGCGGGCATCCAGAGCGGCTCTCATTGCATTTGCTGCGTTATTAAACACTAATTCGGCATGACACTTCATTGGCCACAAACAACAGCAAACACGGTGTAAAGATAAGTTAAGAATGGGAGCCACTTCGCGCTGCCCTACCGCGAAACGGCCAAAACGCAAGACAAAGCTGCTCACTGAAGGCCTTTGGAACGCTCGGAGCCGGTCGGATCCTCCAGTCCATAAACGACCGCAGCGCTGCCGCGTACATCCGGGACCTTTCCGTGTCGGCGCGTGATCCCACTACTCCTTTCTAGTATGCGCCGCCTTTTCCACCGCTTGGTGGCGGGTATGTCGACGGGTCATTTCTTATTTCCGTACTTTAGAAACCGCATTTGTTTCTTTTCTGATCTAAAATACTGAACAAAAACTACTTTCATACATAATTGAAACGGTTCGCGCCACTTATATTTTGTATTTCGACTAAAAAAAGAAGCTTTTAGCGGCTCTGACCAGTAGTAAGCCCAGGACCAAAGACGTCACATTTCGCGCACTTTCAGTACCGCAGGTCGCCCCCGTCGGTGGAGGAGGTTTCCGCGTCGTCCGGTTAAAATATGATGCACCGATTTTTAGTTACTCTCTCCGTGCCCGCTGGCTTGCCCGAACCCCAAGAGACGTGGAAACCGCATAAAAGGCAGACACTTAAATATGATTCCAGGACCCCTTTAATGTGTGCCCGCTATCCTATCAATCAGAGCCAATTAGAGCTCGGCGTATTTCTGACGTCACCACAACCCCTGCAAAAGAAACAGACGAACTTGTGCTCCGCATAGACTAATGAGGTCTGTGCAGGTGTAGTGGATTACTGAAGATAAAGATATGATTCCGATTAGGCATTTGCTGAGCGTGATCGAAGACCACTAAATAAGCAAACTTTAGAAAGATTTGGTACGCGCGTGGAAGGCGCGGCTCTGCGCTAAACCTTCTAATCGTGCAGAAGGCGTAAGTATGGAGTTGCGAAAACGAGCCAGCGCGCTGTTTCGTTTCTAATCCTCCGCATGTTATCACCGACAGCCTTGCGCCCGTCGCACGAGTGGTAACTTCTGCGCAACCGGCGCTTCCTAATCGCCCCAAATATTTCTAAAAAATTTCGATCACGCTCGGCAAGTATTTAATTGAAACCACATCTTTAACTTCCCTAATTAAAAGCAAATACATTTTTGTTAATTGGCTTATCGTGACAAATATTCCTCTATATTAAGTCCCCCTTGTCGTATAATTCACCTGTACAGAGTGCATTAGTGTGGTTTTTACGGCGTTTTAGAGCTAAGTTGTTAACGCCTAAAAGAACAGACCCTGTACTTTCCCCGTACATTAATCATGCGAGTAATCCGCTTACTTTGCAGGACATTGAAATTAATGCTAATTGTGAAGTTCGGGAATCATCCAGGTTTCTTCATCTGTTGCAGCATAACAGCTGCACAAGGAGCTTTCTCCAGGGACTTCTAGACAATTGGTAAAAAAAAAAAAAAAAAAAAAACGTAGGTGAGGGATTCGACCGCCGTGATTGGCCGACGCCAGGATCAAGAGTGGCGCCGGCCAATCACGGTCGCCGGATTCCTTGCCGACGTTTTCGCCAAGTGCCCAGATTAGAGCCCCTGCACGCGACGAGCGCGCGCTGGAGAGCTGAAAGAAAGCCCGTCAAGACGAGGTCTTGTGTCTCGTAGTCCCATAGTCCCGTAATCTCGTGTCTTGTTGCATCGGCTTCTCTCGGACTAATATACTTATAGTGAACGGACACGGTCGCTATACTCGTAAAAAAAGAGACCGATTGTGGAACTTGAGAACCTCGTTTGCGTGTGGGCTTCGGTTCTTCTTCCTTTTCGGGCTCCTTTTCGGGCTCCTTTTCGGGCTCCTTTTCGGGCTCGTCTTCGGAGTTCGGCGATTCTTGAGATTTATCTGAAACGTACAAGTCCATGTTCTTTCCCTCGCTGTTTTCGCGAATGTCTCCGCACCTGTTGTCCTTCTCTCTCAGAAGTTCCTCCGTGTCTGCTACTGAGAGCACTAAAACATTGCGGAGCGCGAGTTCGTCTGCTTTTCTTGTAGGGGTTGGGTCTGATTGGGTCTGTTTGAAGGATAGTGGGTAGACCTCAAGGCAGCTTGCTTTGAGGTCGACGCACTATCCTTCAATCAGAGCCAATCATAACTTTGCGTCGTTCTAACGTCACCACAACTCCTGCAAACGAAGCAGACGAACTTGTGCTACGCATAGACTTCTTTTAATCAGTTCCGTCAATGAGAAGAGCCGTTGGCATCGTGCTCCATGGGTATTCGCAACTTTAGAGAGCCTATATTTACCAGAGGGGACGAGTAAACCCATGAAGGCCGTTTGCGATTTAGGGGTGGACCTCTCCAGCGCAGATTGGTTGCTCATCGCGTGTGCGTTGCCGCGTTGTGAGGACAGCAGGATAACAGGAGACGCTCCCGATTTTAGAATATGCTGGCACCGCGTGGGGCCTTCGCGCCAGGTCAAGTATGGATGAGCTGCTAGAGCGCAGACAAAAACGAGCGGCGCGGTTTGTGTCCGGTAACTATGATTTTTCTAAAATCTCATCTGCTATTTGTAAGGAGTTAGGGTGGCCATTGCTTGCTGGCCGGCGTAAGTATGTGAGATTGTCCTTGTTTTACAACATTTTCAATGGCCGAAATGGCATTCATAAGGAACAATACATAAACGATCCAACTTATGTGTCGCCCCGTAGAGATCAGCATCTAAAAGTCCGCGAGTACAGGAGCAGAATAAACGTATATAAATTCGAATTTTTTTCTGAGAACTGTTAACGAATGGAATAGCCTACCAGGTGAAATTGTGTGCTCGCCAGTTTCGCCTTTTTTTTTTTTTTTTTTCCCGGTTCAGCAGACCTTCTTGTTTGGCTAAGTTTCACTTTGTGATTTTGATTGCTGGTTCGTTTGCGATTTGTTGTTTTTATTTTGTGGCAAATTTTCTATGATGTCAATATTTTATTCCTGGTGTCATTGAAACTTTTTTTTTTTCGAATCACACGAATATTTTTGAGGCACAACTTTATATTCTATATATGTTTTTTTTATTGTTTTCCCCTACAATAACACCCTGGTAAGGGCAATGTAGGTAACTAAATAAATAAGTAAATAAATAAAAAAAAAACACGTGACGGCCTGACCGAGCAGTTGGAAACACTCCCAAATCAAGTCACATTACTCAATTCTAAGGAATGCGACGCCACCTAGCGGACAAGACGCGGAAGAGAGAAACGAGGAGGTGCCCTCGCGTGTCGAAGCCTGCAGTAAAACATGGCGTCTCCTCGCGCGGCCGAAATATGAAACAGAGGAAAGGGAGGCCCGAGGTTGGCCTGGCTCAACCAAAGCGTAACCATCAGAAAATTTCTCTGAACGTTTTTCGTTACACTCCATCTCGCGGTTGGAGGTTGCGAATAACCAGTTTCAGATGCATAAAGACGTTTATTCTCTCTTTGAGAACGGAGGCAATGACAAAAGCTGGAGAACTGAACGCCAGCTTGCACTCACCTTCAACTTTTTATTCGCGGCAAAATACTTAACTATTTATATACATTGTGATATCGTACCACTCTCAACAAATCGGTGCCTCACCACCGCTCGCAAGAATGCGATTTTCTAATCCGCATGTTCAATGGAGGCTAGGCTAACGCATGCTGCGCCGGATCTTTTTACAGCGGAGCTGTTAAGGGCTAGGTTCCCCAGGATCGTGTCCGCTATGTCGACACAAACCTGCCTGGACAGCTACCGCCATCTATAAGCGACGGCGGCAAGCACACAGCCAGTATGGTTTCCGCCGTCGCTCGTAGATGGCGGCAACCTTTCCAGCTATAATAGAAGAATGGATAGTTGGGAGCGTTGGTGGGGAATGCATCGTAGGAAACGGCGCGAACAACAGACGACGACGAAGAAGCACACAGAGTATCGAGTACAGCTCCGCTGGTCTTCCTTCTTCACGAGAGTGGAAAGGCTGAACGATTTTTATTGTCAGCTTCCATAACCTTCCTTATGGTCTTATCTTTATGTCTGGCTAGAATAGTACACGCGATGAACAAAGGAGCGCAGCAACACGTCGTTAGAGTGAAAAAAAAAAGACTATTCCGATAGTTGTTGAAATTAGATTGTGTTTACGTAATTCATTAAGACATTCTGGTTGTTTGTATATATCTTTCTACGTGAAAACGGATCTCTTTTTTTATTTTTATTGCGTTGAGATGGCACGCTTATTGGAGGGTGATTCGGATGGCACGCTTATTGGAGCGTGACCTCGGTCGTCCGTCTCATTGGTTGAACTGACCGAAGGAGGAGCAATGGCTTGTGTTCTGAGTGCATCGCGGGAGAGCAAGGGACAAGAGCTCCTGAGTAGGAATGTCGCGAACCCACCGAAGTTCGAGTTCGACTTGGTCCGAACGTTTCGGTCTTCTATCACGATGTTGGCCAAAAGTTTGACAAAAGTTCGACTCAAGTTCGACTTCTATGCGTATGCGTCACGCTCGAACTTTTATCGAACCTCAGATTCGCCAAAAGTTAGCAGCATCCCTACTGCTGAGGAAGTTTCGAGCACTACGGTTTCGAGTCATCTCTTTATACACGCGGTCCCTTTCGAATATCGCCGCTTAATACACGTTATCAAAACTTTGGGTACTCACAAATAACGATAATTACGTCCGGATGATTGGGGCCGTTTATTCTTACAACATTTCTAATTTAGATCTGTTTTTTTTTTTTAATTATTGTTTTTCAAACATTTTAGTACATATAGATAATAACTTTTATACACATACTTGGTGCTTAGTATTTTGACAGTAATTACGCACATGTCCGCATGTACTGGTATACAAAAGGAAACGGCTGGTACCATTTAGTGCGATTTACTGCGAGAAAGGCTTCATATTGAAAGCAGCTTCAATGAACTTTGAAACCGCTCAAACAACCGAAAAACTTGCAAGTTTTTGTAATTATATTTTTGCTTTTTTTTTCTTGACATTGGCTCAATCTGATTCCCGTTTTATTTTTTATTTTTTATTTTTGTGTCGCGTTTTGTCGTTGACGGCAAGAAGTTTTAGTTGATCGTTCCGATAGCTCCTCTAACGATACCCGGCATTCCCTTTGCGCACGCATCGTATCGTTATCGGACAGCGTTATCGGAGTTATCGGAAAGTATACTAAAACACCCAATTCAAGGTGTCTCAATGACGTACCTTCCGGTTGCTCTTCACTCTCTGAAAATTCAAGACAGACCACGAACACGTTAGAGTAATGCGTTTCTATAGTTGTTTTAATTTGAGCATCGGGCCCAGCCTTGCGCACCTCACGCCCCAGTCCTTGTTCTTTGTGCGAGCGGCCATGTTACCTGCTCGCTCTCCTAACGCGTCATCGCATTTTGCTCCCTGACGTCCCGCTGACACGACGCTTTGATCGGAGGACAGCGCTTACCGAAGGATGACGCAGCGTTTACGTCACATCCGGGCGCTGACATCGGACAACGCCCACACGTTTCGTAGTGGATGAGGCGGAATGCACGCGCCTCGCATCACCTATTTGGTGTTGACTAGGGTTACTAGATAGGTGACGCTTACGATTCTAATGTTGGCTATGAATGACAGGTACCGTGGTTCGCTTAAAAAAACATCCAAGTGCATTTGCGGTATTTTGTGTGCCACAGCGACAGATGTTTATGTCCCGGCGTAATCGCTGCGGGGAATTTTTTATAACCATACGGCGAGAAAATTCGCATATTCTTTGTGCTTACTTGCTCCTTAATACAAATAATTATAAAAATAATAATATTAGTAATAATAATAAATAATAATAATAATAATAAGAATCTATCAGTGCTTACAGTAGTGTCCAAGAAAAATCAACCAGTCTTAGTGTTGGCACAATTAAAAAAAACGAGCAAAGCACACACATACAGACACACATACACACGAGTGTAGAAGGGGAACGTTCACCAGTCTGAGAATAAGGATATTAAAAAGTACGAAAGACACTAAAATCAACAAAGGAAATGAGAAACACAAAACAGACATGACCAGATGTGAGAGAAAAAAGCGAATACTTGGATATCGGATTGACACACATCAACCCATCAACCGATCAGTCCTTTTCTTTCAAGAGAAAGTTTTGAACAGCGTTTCCGAACTTGGTCCCGCATGAGTTAAAAATATCAATTGTACCAGAGTAAACTTGAGGAAGAAAACGAGAAAGGACGGACAAACACAAACTTCCAACTGGTTGCCAGTTGGAAGTTTGTGTTTGTCCGTCCTTTCTCGTTTTCTTCCTCAAGTTTACTATCCATACCAACCCGCTCGTTCTGTCCCTACCAGAGTAGCGGTTATAACACTCAGCCGACCTTTGGATCGGGTTTAAGTGGCTAAAATGTCGAGCTATATAGAAGCATGATTGAAGCCGTGTAGGCACAGATGGAACTCTAAGGCTCGCTTCGTACAGAAGGCTGGGAGAGTTAACCGACACGTGTAGGGTCTTAAACAAAAATAACAATTGATCTGCCTTCACCCGACGCTGCTGCAGGCTCAACTAGTTGACGAGTTGCGAGTTACACCCAACGTCTAAACAAGGATCACCTTTCTCAAGGTAACGATATTTAAAGATGGAAATAAATTTGTTTTGGACTCGCTAGACCGAGAAACTGTTAGTTTTGGAAATGCCGTTTCAAACAACCGAGGTGTACTCTAGCTGGGATCTAACTAAGGAACAGTACAGCGTGAAAAAAGCGGGCGGGCTTTTGAATTCCTTCGTTATGCGAGACGCGGCACCTAACGTGCGCAAGGCCGACTGAACCACTCTGGTAACGTGTCAAATCTCA